ATGATCATGTGGTTTTTATCCTTGATTCTGTTAAGATAGTGTATTACATTTATTGATTTATATGTGTTGAACCATCCTTGCATCCCTGGGATAAATCCAACTTGGTCAGGGTGTATGGTATTCTTGATGACCCTCTGTATTCTGTTTGCCAGTAACTTATTGAGGATTTTTGCATCTATGTTTATTAGGGAGACAGGCCTATAGTTTTCTTTTTTGGTTGAGTCTTTCCCTGTTTTTTGTTTTTGTTTTGTTTTTTGGTTTTTTAGACAGGGTCTCACTATGTAGTTGAGACTGACCTGGAACTCACAGTGATCCTCCTGCCTCAGCCTCCCGAGTGCTGGGATTACAGGTGTGTGCCACCATGCCCGGCTCTTTCCCTGTTTTTTGTATCAGAGCAACACTTGCTTCCAAGAATGAATCTGGAAGTATTGCTTCCCTTTCCATTGCATTGAAGAGTTTAATGAGTTAATGTCCCTAAATGTGTTGTAGAATCCAGCAGTAAAGCCATCAGGACCTGGGCTTTTCTTAGTTGATAAAAGTCTCCCAAATGGGAGTGATTTTTCTCTTTTCCCCTAAACTCCAATGACTTGGCAGTCAATGTCAAGAGACACTTTTGATTTTCATAATTGGGAAGAGGACTGCTACTAGTATCTAGTAGGTAAAGGCCAGGATGCTGCCATGCACAGAATAGCTCTCAACAACAAAAATCACCCAGCCCAAAATGCCAGTAGCGCCAAGGTTAAGAAACTCTGAGCTATGTTAAAACAGACATGTAAAATCTAGTTCAGAGATCTTCAACTAGCCCCTTATTTGGAGTTGCTATTTTTTTGTTTTTGGGTACTGGGGATTGAATTGAAGACCTTGTGCTTTCAAGGCAAGCAGTGGAGCCACTGAGCTAAATCCTCAGCCCTAACTAGCTCCTTATTTAGCATGACTAATCTCTTCTTCCATGAATTTACCCACTATGCTAAATTAAAATCAATTATATTCTATGGTGGCATACATTTGTAATTCCATTATTCTGGGAGACTAAGGCAAGAGGATCCAGCACAGGCAACTTAATGACTTGCCACACCCTGTCTCAAAACAAAAAACAAAAAAGGACTGGGGATGTACCCCAGTGTGATGGCCTGTGTGTGTGTGTGTGTGTGTAATATACACACCCATATACAACACATATATATATATATATATATATATATGTATACACACAGCCACATTTATTATAGATACGCTTCAAAATTACTTTTACATTCTGCTTAATAGACTGTGTACATCTATTAACATGGATGAATATAAGATAATACTGAATGAAAAAAGCAAGTCAAGCAGAATATATTCAGTATGATACCATTTATATAAAGGTTAAAAAAAGAAAAATTAAATAGTATTTACATATGGATATCCATAGTTATATCAGGAAATTAAGGAATGATAACACTAATTCAGAATAGTATTTATGTCTCCAAAAAGAATTGAGCCTTGAGAAGAAAGTGAGCATTCTTTAAATATATTAAATTCTATTTTCAGGTTAGTTGGATTCTTGAAGTTTTTACAATTGTAACTTATAATTTACATATTTGTCATGTATTCTTTCATATCAAAAAATCTCATAAGGGCCAGGGATTTAGCTCAGGGGCGCCATGCCTGCCTCACAAGCACAAGGTCCTGAGTTTGATCCTGGTACTGGGGGGGAAAAAAACCTCTTAAGAATAGTAACAAAATTCACTTGTAAATAGTATGAGGTGGCAATAAAGATTTTTCCTTTATGTTATATCCCCACCTGCAGGTTAGAACTATGCATTGCAAAAATCTTTTTAAAAACTATTTTTGCCAAACATTTTTAAAATTAATGAACATGAAAATTCTGCAAGGCATTAGGGATATAAAGAAGTACAAAAAGTATGGTTTCTGCTATATCCATACTTACAATTCATCTGTAGATAAAGAACATACAGAATATATTAAAAGACGAACAATGTAACACAAAATGTTAAATAGAAAGTACCACCTAATCAGTACTAAATATTAAAAACAGAAACAAATATATTTTACAGATCTTGACTACTAATTTAGTTTATGTTAATTTAAATCCAAGTCTCTTGTTTTATTCACTCTGCTATTACCTAAAGCCAAGCTCACTTACTTCATACTTGTTACCACCTATTCTCTTTGTCCATCTCTTTTTTTCTTCTTCCCAAGATGCACTAAACATTGCCACTAGATTGAAGTCTTAACCATCTCATCTCCCTCTTTCCAAAAACCTCACATGGTTTCACAATACCTGGAGAACAAAAGTCTAAAATTTTCAGGTCAATAGTTAAGGATTTCCAGAGTTTGGCCCCATTTTGTTCATCAATCTTGCCTTCTCCTGCCTTTCCACCTCTCATCCCACATGAATCCTTTGCTTCTCAAAGTCTTGTGTGTGTGTCTGTGTCTGTGTGTGTGTTGTTCATTTCTCATTCTGGATCTTTTGTCTGTATTCTGATATGCCCTGTTCCTATGAACATTTATACCGTTAAGAGTTTACATCAAGAATGACCCTCCCTCTCTACTTACATGCCTACGGATGCAGGGCTTTTGTAGGGTGATTGGATCATGGGATGGATTCATGCCCCGGTGAGTTCAGGGGCTGCATGTGCTGCTGGAAGGTGGGGCCTGGTCAGAAGAGGAAGGTTACTTGCAGTGTGAGTTGGAAGGATATTATTATTGCTCTTTGCTTCTCCCTTTTCTCCCTGCCTCCCGGAAGCCAGGACAGGAGCAATTTTCCTTTGCCAGACCCTTTCACCATGCTGTTACTGCCTTGGAACCAGCTGACCAGAAACTGTAATGATGAGGCAAAATAAACCTCCCCTTTCAACTGTGGGTGTCAGATATTTGTCTCAGCTATGAGAAAAGTGACTTAGATGTATCCCCTGAATCTTTAGTACATGTGTTAAATTGTTATCCTAAATGCAGAAACAAGAAACATAGCTTCAATGTGTATTTCTTAGAAGCAAGTTTTCTGTTTGGTAGCTACCCTTCCACAGATTACTGTCCCTAATTTTAACCTATATAAAAATCCTGGAGCTACTATAATTTTTAAGACAACATATTCCTATTTTTTCCTAAATTACTAAAACACTTCTTGCCTGTATCATTTATTTGATAGTCAGACACTACTGACACTAAACTGATCTGTTTCCATAAAGTTTGTTTTCTGGGTTAGATACTCAAATTTTGGAAGCTGGGAGTAATTATATACATTCCCAGATTTTCCTTGACTCGTTTCTAATGTAAGAATTTTTCAAATTTCTCTCATCACCAACAGACAGCCACAAAGCAGGGAGGGCAGCAGGAAGAGAGAGATATCCTTCCAAGTCATCCTCCCCACACAGTGACTATCTCTAACCAAGTTATACCTCCTACTAGCAAGTCAGCTGTATGCCCCCATAATTCAGTCACCTTCCAAAATCCTTGCCAATGAGCACAGGAAGATCTTTGGAAACACGTAAATATAAACCATAACAATTACCTTTAACATTGCTGGGACCAACTACTTGATACACACAACCTAAATAGGGGAGATTTGTTTGACTTACAGTTTCAGAGAGTTCAGTCCATAGTCAGCTCAAAGGCAAAGGTATCATGGTAAAAGGCCATGGTAAGGAAAGTTGCTGAACTCTTGGCACCCAGGAAGCAGAGAGCGAAGGGAGGAGCTGGGGATAAGATTCTATCCTTTCAAATCATGCCCCAGTGACCCACCCCTTCAACTGAACTCCACTTCCTAATAGCATCTTCAGCTATGTTTCTGTGATCCTATCACTTTCCATACCTCTGAACACATGAGACTTTGGGGGAACATTTTAGATCTAAACTATAACACAGACATAATAGTGTTGACATTTTGAGAATCCATAAAATAAACTCTAAGAAAAAAATGCTACATCCTTTCAAGGTGGGCAATATTATTCTCTCTTCTTCCTCCATTTCACAGATGGGGCAAATGAACCTTAGAAAAGTGACTTGTCCAAGAGCTCAGAGTGATGAGATTAAAACACTGCATTCTAGACTATAATACACACCTGATTAGCTGCACTGCACCAAGTTCCTATAGTACTTTTTCTGTCAATACAGAATCTATTTACATTACAGCACACTTCCCCATCCTTCATTAAAATATGAGCTCTTCAAAGTTGGGTCTGTGTTTCTCTTATCTCAATGCTTACGTATTAGAAACACAGAACATTTTAAAAAATGATAAAGTACTGCTATTATTGCACTGATGGTCATCAGAGCACTGATCAAACCTGAATGCAGTAACAAATTTCAGGAATCCTTTATCTGAATTATGTTCTGGAGTATGGTTCTATTAAGTGGTCTTGTATACAGTTTTTGTTGGTAATTGACAACAATTAGAACCCAGAAACCCGTTCCTTATTCCTGCTTACCCTTATTTTGCAAGTAAAAACTACCTCAGGGCCGGGATTTAGCTCAGACGCACTGCTCCCGCCTCATAAGCACATAGGTCCTGAGTTAAATCCCCAGTATGAAAAACAGACTAAAATCAAAACGTTATCCCACAACTACCAACTTTTTGTTTCTTGTTTGCTTATTTTTCAGTACTGGGGATCAAACTCAGGACCTTGAGCTTTCAAGGCAGGTGCGGCTAAATCCCTGGCATAATCACCAACTTTTAAAAAATAGAATGCCCTCATATGCAACTAAGTTTGGCAAGTATTTTAACTTTTCTGAGAACACTTAAGTCTTGTCATGTTACCCAGTTTCGTTGTTTTAGAGATTATGTGTCAATTTACTAACCTTAATAGAGTTAACAAAAGAAAAAGGGAATTCAGAAACGACAGGTTCAGAAACAATTTCCCGAAATTAAACTGCAAGTAGAGTCAACTATTTCTAAAGTGGCACTAACATTATTTATGATACTACCACTATATATCACGTATAGAAAATTGTTTAATTCTGGTGGATTTATAATTGTTAAATTTTGGGGGTTGGACTACCTTATAAAGGGTCCTTCTGTTTCCTTCCCTTAGTCACCCGCCAGTGGGTGAGAAGGGACTAGAGAATAGATTTCGGCCTTTTCTCCTCCTTCCGGGAAGATTCAGAGCTGACACCCCCACGGAAAAACAGAACGCGCCCCCACTCTTTTTCCAGTGGACGCAGAGGTCAATCCACTTTCGCACAGGCCAGGGCAAGGAAGCGCACAGCCTACTGGGACTTATAGTCCCGCGCCTGTGGCCGGACGGCACGTTTAAACGAGGTCGACTGAGCATTCTGGGATATGTAGTCTCTGGTTGTTCATTGGCGTACTGTAATTCCTTCCGGCTACAGGGCTAGACCGGACACAACCGAGGCCCGCTGGTCACGTGACCTTAGTCTAGCGCGTTGAGATCGCGTCGCGGCTCCCGATCCAGCTAGTTCTCGCCCCCGCGCGGCGGTTGCCGAGGAGACGGCGCAAGTCTCGCCGCGCGTCGCCCCTTCTGCAGTTTCCCCCGCCCACTTTTCTCCCACCACAATGAGATCCTAAGATGGCGGTGTCTGCAGCGGTAGACGCCGAGAAGCTAAAGTAGAAAAGGAGCCCGTTGGGCTCTAGGCAGTCAGGGGCCTTGTGAGCCTTCTCTGCAGTCTCTCAGAGACTGCTGCGGGCGGTGGACCGTGGGGGTTGATCCCCCACGCGTCCTCGGCAGGAAGGGCTACTTCGTTAATAGGTGAAGCCTGCGCGTCCCTGGCCCCTGGCAACCGAGGGCAGCGCGCCCTAGGGGCGGAAGAGCAACGGCTTTGAGACTATTGACAGTGCGGGGCCTGGCCTCGGGCCCAGAGTCCTCTGTAGGCTCTTGGGTCGTCTTCACTGGCTGCTTTTCGTCCCTTGGACGGACAGTCCGCCCCTTCCCTGGGACCAATCGACACAATCTCCGGGTGAGCATCTTGGGGACGCGTTGGCGACTGCAGAACCCCCCTTTTGGCCTTCCTGACCCCCTACCCCCGTTATCTCCTCCTCGGGTGGAGGCCGCCTGCGTCCAGGTGTTCGGGATTGCCCCTTGCGGGCGGAAGAAGCGGGGTAGGGGTTGTCGTCGAGTACCAGAGTTCTCAAAGGGGCCCCTCGTGGCCGCAGGCCCCAGGACTGCGCCTGCCCGATCCCACCCGGGTTTGCCATTCTGTGGATGTCTAGGATCCCTGGGTGGAGAAGGGCCGATGAGAAATGGCGCGAGTCTTAGGGTTTGGGTTGGGCTGTGAGCTGCGGGATTTCTACTGCCTCTCATATTCTTGGAGCTAAGGGCCGGAGTAGGCGTTCCTGACTTCGGTCAAGAGTTGGTTTGTATCTGCGAAGGGAATGTTAATTTAGTAGCTCTTCACGTCTGCGGTACCCCCTTCTACGTTCCTTCTACTGCAGATACAGTTAGATAGGGGATAGAATGGGGAATACGAAATGCAGAGTCGGGTTGGGGGAAACGTTGCTTACTTTGCAGGAATGAAGATTAGATATTAGGCCCCGCTGAGTGCCTGAACCAGCGAACTTTTTTCCTGCGGCCCACTGTCCTCTAGGCTCTCCTTGTCTTTTTTTTTTTCCTTTCCCCTGTCTGGTTGAGGCCTGTGTGGTGTGAACTGCAGGTAACATATCGTGTTTTGGCGCAGGAGGCAGCGGTTTTTCTGGGCGCCCCTGACGCCCTCACCCCGTAACAGCTTTCCAGACTCCGCCTTCTGGTGTTCTCTGGTTACCGAAGTGGGTGTTGTACAGCTTCGGGGGCACCTGCTCCTTTCTTTCTCTATCACCTTCCTGGTGAGGGCCAGTAGATGTCTTTTATAATATTGAATTTTGAAATCAAAGGTGCACTTTGTGTTTATATAGTGAAACGATTATGCAGTAGTTAGTTTTTAAATAAACGTTTTTCATCATTGGATATTCAGAGGTCTTTAGTTTGACAGAAGTTAATGATTTGAACAGTCAAGAGTGAACTTTTGTATGGATCTTTGGATGATACCTTGGTTGGGGTTAACTCTTTTCATTATATTCCAGAATAGATGTTAACATATCACTTTGCTGTTTGGTGGACTTTGAGGTTTGTGGGATTTAAGTACTTAAGGTATATCACATTGTTTTCGCGAAGGATTAAGGTAAAACAGGTTTAAAATATTTTAAAATAATATTTCCCCTTTACTAACTTCTTAAACATTTTAAACTATGATATAGTATTTGTTATTTTATATTTCCCAGTGTAAGATTTACTGAATTTTTTTAAAATCAGCAGACAACAGCTTTGAAGTATGCCGCAGGAAAGGAGCTGCTTGTGAGGTACAAAAACTAGTTTCTGAAAAGATAAGTGACCATCACTATGTGTATTATTTTTCTTATAATAGCCAGAAAACTATTAATGAGAACTGCTATACAAATACCACATGATTGAGGGCCCTGTCTAAGTTAAAAAATACCTGAGGTTTTTGTTTGTCTTATTTACTATTTCTTGGCCTGCCACTTTGGTCTCCTTTCCTATCTTTGTTTCCTAACCATTTCTAGAGTGATTTATGTTGGATTTTTTGAAAAAATTTTCACAGCATTTATTAAGCCCATTTAAGTTTGAATCTGTACTATTACAATCATGTGCATAGCTTCGTGTGTGTGTGTGTGTGTGTGTGTGTGTGTGTGTGTGTGTTTGCACTCGCAGCTCCTCTTTACAAATCCGTGTAACTTCGGGTTACCTCCTTCACATTTTTATTACAGTAATGCGTTGTCTTTTAGGAACTTTTCTTTTAAAATTTGTTATACTTACAATTGACTGTTCTTTTAGTTGTCTAAAATTATTTTGAACATTAGTTTTTGTGTGTAATGCATTGCCACGTTAAAAAGTCTGGGGGATGGAAAATTATGTAATTGTTAAGAGCAATTTAGAAAGTAAATGGTTGAAGTTGAAAATGAGGAGAAATTATGTTAAATGAATTTTAGACATAATTGCCCTTTTAAAAAATCAAAAAGTCTCAATTTCATTCTGTTAAAAGTTTCAGAATGCCTATTTTCAAAATTTCTTTAATATATTTTTGCTTTTTACAAAAGCAAATCTTTACAGTTTTCCTGTAAAGATCTGAAATGAGACAAAGGGCAAATTGGAAGTTGATTCTCAGTGGGGTTTTTGATTTGTCTTTGTTTTTTTCTGTAAGACTGTAACAAAATAGATCAAGAAAAAATGAAATATGGAAAAAGAAAAATGGATCTCAGGCAAGGTCGATTGTGAATGTATCAGAGTTTCTAAACATTCAGTGATTGCATAATAGTAGGCACTCAGTAAAATGTTTTATAAAGTTGGTTATAAAATAATTTTCATTTTAGCACATTAGGGAAGATGGAATAAGGAATAAAAAATTGAGTTAGCTCACATTGCAAGCCTGATTTTCTTAATACAGGATTTGGCCTTTTCTGAAGGAGAAAATGGATTTGAGACTTAAAAACTAGAAATGGTTTAGATTAATCATTCTAGGGAATTTGAACCTAATTGGAGATACATAGCAAGCAATACATTCATTTTACAGGTTTGATTGCCTCCAGTGTATTCTGTAATGATTGTCAAGTACTAGAGGTAGGGCAGTGAGCAAAAATACAGTATTTCATCAAAGGAGAGAGAGGGAGGAGCTGGAAGAGGGAAAAGGGAGGAAGGGACTATAATATACCTTAATAGAATATAGCATACCTTAAAGTGTGCACAATGTTATTTTATTATTATTTCCCCACTTTTGTCTGTAAAGTAGAAGTAAAGCCAGGTTTATCTGAAGTTAACATAATGGGCAAATTGATGAGAAAGTCAAGGATGCTAGCATCGTATTTTTGTAATAGCTGACCAGGTTTTGTGTTTGGGTTTAAGTAAAGATTAGATTCAAGGAGAGACTAATGATTGAACAATTGGAAATATTTAAGAGGGCCAACAGAAAGTTCAGCAGAAATGAGACAGAGAAGCAGAATGCAAGAGTTTATGATCAGAAGTGGATTTTCAGCAGTTCAGGATTTTGAACAAATTATCAGTTCAGAGTGAAAAAGATACAAAAATTTTAAAAATGAAAGAACATTGGGATTGAGACCAGAATCTTATAAAAATCCTTGCAAATATTCTGTTTCTAAAAGGAAATTATTTGGAGAGTGAAACTAAGAGACATTTTAGCCAAGGAAGGAGCAAGACCATATTAGGTAGGACAGTATGAAATGGTGCCCAATATCTAGAGAAGGATATTTTTGATGACTAATTTTTCAAAAGAGAAAAGGTTAAGCATTAAATAAAAATGGTTTTCTGATGGTATCCTTTCCCCGTGAATATAGCAGAGTAGGAAGAGTAGTGTCTTATTTTAGAAATGATTATTTAAGAAATTGTACCTTTAGCGTATTTGGGATTTTACTTAAGTCAAACAAGTAGGAGGAATGTTTAGCAATGGGTGAAGGATATACAGTGAGTTTGTAAAAATCCAGGGTTGGGGTAAGAAGAGCTGTTAACAGTGAGTATGGCCAGGTGTGGTGGCGCATGCCTATAATCCCAGCACTCAGGAGGCTGAGGCAGGAGGGTCGCTGTGAGCTGGAGTTTGAGACCAGCCTGGGCTACATAGTGGGATTACAGGTGTGCGCCACCATGCCCAGCTTAAACTTTTTAAATTAGAAAGATAAATACATTTATGCTGGGAATTTAGCTCAGTGGTTCCATTTCCTGCCTCACAAATGCAAGGACCCAAGTTCCATCCCTGGTACCCCCCGCAAAAAAAGATAAATACATTTATATCATAAGTGAGTACCATAAAATAGACCTAATACAATACTTGGTACTTGATATGGTGAAAGTTTAGTTGATTCAAGTTGAGTGGTATATTTAGTTTGAGTTTATTTATCTACCTCCCTCCAGTTTATTCAGTTTCCATTTAATTTGAAGAGCATAATTAGGTATCATAACATCCTAGTACCATCCCACATAAAAGTTGATTCACAGTAAATAATAAAGCTTAATTGTCTTCATATAAAGGCTACTTATACCGTAATACCAAGAAAGTGATTACATTAAAATATTTATTAAAATAAATTTTAAAATAAATTTAAAAATTCAAATAAATATGATAAAAAGGGCAAACAAAATAGAATGAATTTAAAAACATGTATCTTACTAAAGTGAGAAACCAGTAACGCAAGTCATTTTTCTGTGTTACGTGATTGAGATAGAGAACGTTAAAGACTGTTAAGGCTCTAAATAAATTTATGTTTAGAGATTTTATTAGTACATTTTTGCAGTGTTCTAAATAAATCTTTTAAAAAGTTGTTAGCAAGTTGTCCCATCAGTTGAATGTCTGCATCAAAGAATTGTGAGGATAAAATGACATAATGGGCATAAAATGTTTAGGATGGTGCTTGTCATATAGTAAAGAAAATAAGTGTTAGTGATTAATTTTTTCTTATTTTTTTCCTACTTGGGTATATTTGAAGATTTTCTGTCTTGGGCTACTACAAATTTTACTGCATAAATACTTATGACAAGGTATCCTAGATTAATTTTCTACCCTCTTCTATACTGTTTTTCTTTTCTAGATATTAAACTTTTTTTTCTGACTTCCAAATGAATTTTGGTGTCATTTTGTCACATTCCAAGAACAATCTCAGTGGGATTTTTATTGGAACTATATTAATCCAACATATTTTTTTTTCAGCTTTGTATGAGTTTATTGGTACATTTTAGGGATACAGTACAGTTGCATTCATAATCCAACATATTTTTTAAAAAAGGAATATTTGCAATTTTTAGTCTTCTCAAAGAACATAGTTTGTTTTTTCTGCTTCTTCAGGTTTTCTCATATTATTTACCAGAATTTTAGTAGTGTTTCTTCATATAGGACAAAATTATATTATTCCTAGGTTTTTTTATATTTTTGTCACTATTATAAGTGGCATCATTATATCTTTTTAAATATAGGTAACATTTTGAAGTTGTTTACATTTTTTAAATCATCTTTAAGATACCACTTTTTTCTTTTTAATATTAATGTTTGCTTCATACTTTTCTGGTAGATTGAAATTCAGAAACACTGCTAAGTAACTGATGTGACCTTCTTATCTTGGTCTTATTTTATTTTTATTTATTTATTTTTGGTACCGGTGATCAAAAACGGGACCTTGTGCTTGCAAGGCAGGCAGCATAACCACTGAGCTAAATCTCTGGCCCTCTTGGTTCTATTTTAATAGGATTGTCCGTCATATTTTAAATATAATATTTACTATTGGTTTAAAATATACTACTTCATTAGAGAGTTATAGTTATATATGCTCATTGAAAAAATAGAAACAATATTAAAATATAACTGAGCAAGTATCAGTGTATTTTTTTAAGCTTTTTCATATTAATATTTTGTTGGATTTTATCACATCACTTTTATTTTGAACTGATAAAATTTAACTTGCTGTGTAATTTATTAATATAATATATTATCCTAACAGATATCCTAGAATTTAAACATCCATGGGACAAATCCTACTTTGTCATGGATAATAATCCTTTTGCTACACCATAGTAAAAGAGATGAATTAGTCTCTTAGAAACAAAGCAGTTTGGATTTACATTCGTTTTTGCCCTTGTAACTGAATGACCTGGGTAAAATTTTTTAACTCTTAAATATTGTTTTATTTATAGTTTAATGCCTTTTCCTATCCCTTGAATTTTATATAAAATTGTCTCAACCTCTCTTTCACTTAGCCTCTCTGCAAGCCGCACAGTTTTATAGGTAGGCAAAATCCACAATCTTCCACAAGATAATGTAGAAATCTTTTCTCATGAGTATTTCTCCTTCTGAACCTCTTCCACTGTTGCTACTTCTGTTCCTCATCTCTTGGACCAAGTATAGCATTAACTTTAATTTCATGTGCACAAGCAAAAGCTCCACTGGGGTGAATTTATGATTTTAGTAAAATTGGGAAGACTAGGGTACAGCAATAGGTATCATTGTTCTTAATGAGTTTTAGCCCTGCACTCTTGGATTTTTTTGGCCCTTCACCCCACCTGGATCTACTTCTTTGTTCTCATCATCTCATCTTACTTACCATTGCTGAGGTACTTCCCATTAAAGCTAGAGCTCTGTCCTGTTTTCATGCAGAGCGCTTAGAACTTCTGGATCTTTGGCACAAAACTTATGACCCCTGTTCTTGGGGTATCAGTTTTAAGTATTCCAAAGTTATTATCAGAACAGAGACACTTTCCTTCTTAAGAGAAGTTCTGTTGTTAACTTTTTCTTCCTGATTATTTTACCTTTTAGGACTGTGTAGTCTGGAGGTCACTGTACATTTTGGGTATAGAGAGATTTCTTTTCCCTTCTATCACTCCAGCTGCTTAACTCATGTTAACATAATATTGCAACTAAGTGAACTTGTGACATGTGGTCGACAGTACCTTTTTATTTCATAAAATTAGTGCCTCAGATTTATTTGTGTTTTTGTTTCAGGAAATGATTTAAAAATTGAAGTTTCGGGCTGGGAATTTAGCTCGGTGCAATACAGTTTGATCCCTGGTACCCCCACCGCAAAATTGAAGTTTCATGTCTTTAAAAGCTTAGTTTTTATTGTTTTGCAGAAAATTAATTGTTATAAGCCAATATGGCCACAGGAGGTGGACCTTTTGAAGAAGGCATGAATGATCAGGATTTACCAAACTGGAGCAATGAGAGTGTTGATGACCGACTCAATAATATGGTATAGTATCTTACTATTGATGGTGTGTTGTTGACTGCTAATGTTAAATGCAACTTTCTTCTCACCAAATCTAACTTACTAAAACTTTTTTTATTATTCATTAAATTTATTGGTACATTTTATGCATATGATATGATGACACTCATCATTGGAAAGTTATACCTGTACATGATATATCTTGGTTCTTATTTTTCCCCCCACCCTCCCTTCTACCCCTCCGCCCCTCCCTGTTTACAAAGGCTTTGTGTTGTTTTCTCTTCTCATATTTCCCCCTTTCCCCTCCCCTTCCCCAACTTACTGAAACTTTTTGTAAACACTGCTAGCTAATATAATAAGGGACCTTGAGCTGTTGATTACTAGTTAAGACATTTTAATTTCCAGCTAACAGAAATTAACTTGAGTTAGCTTAGACCAAAAAAAGAGATTTATTATAAGGGCGTAAAGGTATTTTGTGGAAACTGCGATAAAGGGTTTTAGGAAGGGACTGAGAAAAGAACCAAGAAAGTTGTCAAAAAAATATTCTTACTACCCTGACTGCTTCCCAATGCCTCAATGTACCACAGCTTTCTCTTAACAGACTAGTATTTTTCCCTGTTGTAATCCATGTGATATATGTGGGTACCTTATTAGTCTAAAGTATTCAGTTAAGGCTGCAATTATATACTGACTAGTTATCTTATAGTTCTAAAATGAAATTTTAAAATAGTTATCCTAATTTGGATTAGAGATGCATTCCTTTTCCAGTCGTCTTTGGCCAGGAAGGGGTAAGGTAAGGAGTTTTGAAATTTGGCAGGAACACTCACATGTGGATTGGGGAGGAAGGGCAGTTCACAGAGAAATGAGTTTTATTATAAATAAGGAGAATATCCCAAATGGTTTTATTAAAATAGTAACTAAAAGATCTTCCAGTAGGAATAAAGTTGGAATTTATAGATGTTTTGGTGAATGGATTATGTTAGGTGGATATGATTATGTATTATGTTTTCTAGTTAAAGTATTAAGCGTTTTTTGTAATTCTGTATTGAATGCTATGTACATTTTTGTGTATCAAAATAATAATTTAAAGTATTGCTTATTAAATGCTAGGCACTGTGCTAGATGTTTATGTGTTATTTTTAATCCTGTTTTAAAGAATACTAATTTAAAGATCAGGAAACCAAGACTTGGGGAAGTTGGATAAATTGCCTATGTGCCTGGAGGCCAGCAAATAATTTATTTCACCTTTTAATTTATAAATAGAAAAAACAAATTTTTAAAAGTACATTGAAAATATGTAGATTGATTCTAGGGTTGGGATTTCGGAACTTATATTTGTTACCTGTGTAATAGAAAATTCTATGACATTAGGATAGATGTAATGAAGGAAAAATGGTTACTATAAATATCTTTAAGAATGTAGGTTTATATAAAAAGTGTCTTGTCATTTTAATATTATCAGTTAAATTTTGATCAGTTTTTTAAGCATAGCTAACTTTTTTTCCTAGTTCAATAGAGGGTAGATTAACTTTGCTTTTCCTTTTTTTTAAGGATTGGGGTGGCCAACAGAAGAAGGCAAATAGATCATCAGAAAAGAATAAGAAAAAGTTCGGTGTAGAAAGTGACAAAAGAGTAACTAATGATATTTCTCCAGAGTCATCACCAGGAGTTGGAAGGCGAAGAACAAAGACTCCGCATACATTTCCACACAGTAGATATGTGACTCAGATGTCTGTCCCAGAGCAGGCAGAATTAGAGAAACTTAAACAGCGGATAAACTTCAGTGATTTAGATCAGGTTTGTGAATTATTTGGAAAGTCAAGTTATAATTGTAGGAAGTACTTGAAATAGATCAGGTAATTTGTCTCAATAAAAGACTGACCTACTTTTTTTTTTGGTACTGGGGATCAAACTCAGGACCTTGCGCTTGCAAGGCAGGTGCAGCGCTGCTGAGCTAAATCCCTGGCCCTTGGGGTACTTTTTAAAAAGTTTCTGTGCATATGGAAAGAATTTTAATTAGTGATCATAGTACTGTGTTGTTTAGTGGAAACCAAAGTCTTAGATATTTCCAAACTTGCCAAAGACATAGCATTCTGGATTTTCTTAATATGCTAATAGCTAACTTAAATTATTTGATTATTAAACTACTACATGTTACTGAATAAGATTGTTAATAAGTGAATAGAAAGATCCAGTTTAATGTATTTATTGGTAAGTGTGATATGTGCTGAATTACCTCAAGTGTAGCATAAAATTGATATATACTTATATCCACTGAAATATAGTTTAGATCTAAAAACAAATAGAAATGATAATGAAATCTTGACTAATATTTTACTGTCACATCTGTTCTTGCAGAGGTGAACTTATTTTCAAATATGTAGAAATACTGTTGTATATTGAAGTCTGAAAGTAGATTTAAGTCCAATGTGACAGTGGTGATATATATAATGTATCATTATGCATGTACGTATTGATTATTGAACACTTACTGTATGCCAGGAAGTTGAGTCCAAAGACTATAAAAATTTTGTAAGTAAGCAACAAATAGCAATGTGAATTATAAATGTCCATAGCCCTAGTATTTCACTTAAACTAATTTTGTTCATATTCATTGAATTGTCTCACAAAATGAGGAATAGGAAATGCTAATCAAATTTTGATATTTTAGTAAATGAATTTTGTAGATCTGAAGCTCTTTGAAATTTTATTATAAATCTGTTCATGTACACTGTATCTCCTGAATTAATATAGCAAAACTAAGAACATTGGAATTATTTTAATATGTTAAAAGATTGTATGATTTGATTTCTTTTTATATATATAGAGAAGCATTGGAAGTGATTCTCAAGGAAGAGCAACAGCTGCTAACAACAAACGTCAGCCTAGTGAAAACCGAAAGCCCTTCAACTTTTTGCCTATGCAGATTAATACTAACAAGAGCAAAGATGCTGTTACAAGTCTTCAAAAGAGAGAAATGATTGGGTCAGCACAATGTAAAGAGTTGTTTGCCTCTGCGTTAAGTAATGACCTGTTGCAAACTTGCCAAGTCTCGGAAGAAGATGGGAGAGGAGAGCCTGCATTGGAGAGCAGCCAGGTAATAAAATGCATTGTGCTTGTTTTCACAAACCTGAAAATATAAACATTAAGATTTTAAGATTATATTAGGTTATACACATAGGAATTTTATTTAGGTAAAAGTAAAATATTTTCCTGGCCTTCTTCATTAATCTACCACGTTTATTTAAAGTACACTTTTTTAAAAATCCCAAATGATTGGAGAAATGGCATATTCAAATTCATTAAGGTTTCTTTTATTTGCCAAATACTGTGTTGCTAAATTTTAGTAAAAGGGGATTAGAAGAATAGATTTTTGTAAGAGATTTTTTAAATGGTGATACTGTTGTTTAAAAAAGTATTTTCAAAAGTATAATACTTTTAGTTTTAAAGAAATATGTAAACATTACAAGGAAAATTCATATTAAAATAGTTTGTTGCCTAGTTTGTTTTACAAATACAATTTTTCAGATAATACGTTAAAGTAATTTTGAAATTGAGGCTAGTTGGAGTTTTTAGGATTGACATTTATGTTTTTATTAAAATTTAAGTTTAATTCAGGCTTTTTGCATGTATGAATCCACCTGTAAACATAGATGTATTTTGGGTTATTCTCATTGAAATAAAAATCTGTAAAATTATTGCTATTTAATTATGCTCAGTTTTACACGTTGTGTATTGTTATACTTATTTTTTTGTTTCTCCCCTCCCATCTGTCCCCCACTTCTTTTCCTTACTCTTTTAGTACTCAAGATTGAACCCAGGGCCTGAGCTACATCCCCAGCCTTTTTCTTTTGAAACAAAGTCTTATAAAGTCACTAGGTTGCCCAGGTTGAGCTTCAACTTCCAGGTCTCCTGCGTCAGCCTCCCTCAATGCTCAGTTTAGAGGTAGAGGGCTGCACCACCCATGGCCAGGTCTTAGTTTTCTTTTGTGTATTTCCTCTGCAGATTGTAAGCAGGCTTGTTCAAATTCGTGACTATATTACTAAAGCCAGTTCTATGCGAGAAGACCTTGTAGAGAAAAATGAAAGATCTGCTAACATTGAGCGTCTTACTCATCTAATAGATCACCTTAAAGAGCAGGAGAAATCATACATGAAATTTCTCCAGAAAATCCTTGTAAGTTTTCGACTTTTTAATAACATGTTGAATTACTTTGTAATACATTATAGATACACTGATGACATTCCTAATGCTACTCCGGAGGAGGTAATATTCTCAAAAATTATGCCATCCATTATAACATTTTATTGCCCTTTTTAATAGTTGTATGATTTATACCACTGAAATATTTCAGGCTAGAGAAAATGAGGAGGAGGATGTTCGGACTATAGATTCAGCTGTGGGATCTGGTTCTGTAGCTGAGAGCACATCGCTAAACATAGATGTGCAGTCTGAGGCTTCAGATACCACGGTAAGCAGCTTTTTGGTAATTTAAGTGATAGAAATGAAGATTTAAACTTTCCTCCCATTTTTTCAAGATGATATTTTTTAGGCATTCCTTAATGAAAAGTGTATCCCAAGGAAGAAACCCTCAAATTGTTAATGCTGTATGTATTATTAAACATGGAAATTTTGTTTTATTTATTAAAATTAAAAATAGTTTTAATGTTTGAATTGAAATTCTAATAATTTTTAAACTCCAGTTTACAGAAATGTTTTTCTGGTTTTGTTCAAACAGCTTAACTAATTTTGAGAAGCATTGGGAAAGTAAAAAATTTACTATAAGGGCCATTAGTAATCACTGATGGTACTGATTGCTAAACATGTAATGTATTAGAGAAATCTGTTCATTTGCCACTGAAGACTCATTTTAGGCATACTGGAATTCATTTCTCAGGCTGTAGTCTAATATTGTAACAAAACCAAATGATTGAAAAATTAGATAAGGACTAGTAAATAGTATAGGATACCATTTACATTTTTATTTATTTGCAGTGAGAAAAATACTGTGATTTCTAACTGCAAAATGAAATTTATGAAAATAATATCCTTTGGAAAAATAATAATTTTAGAATTTTTGATGAAAGATTTGTAAAATTAAGTTATCTTACAGAAGTTAGTGTACTTCAAAGCTAGTATATGTTTAACCATCTTTAACACGTGTACCTATAAGCATGCATGTGTATTAGTCAGCTTTAAAACTTAGTACCAAGAAGGTTTTTCTTTTTAAAGGATAACAGTGTATATCACTTTGTTTTTTGAAGGTTGTTATTAATAATACTGTTCAGTTTTAGGAACTTGAGGATTTGTTTCCTTTTAGTATTGATCTTTATAGTTTATTTTCCTCCTTTTGCGTCCATGACCTTCCTTCTTTGAAGAGGTAATTTGAATTTTTTTTCTCTACCTTATTTTCACCAGGAAATACTCAGAGGGCTTGATCCAGACAGTTGTTGAAGAGTGGATTCTACTGTGGGGAACTTGTCTTTTTAGTTACAGTGGTGCTGAGAATAATTTACTCCTTATATATCAGCAAAAATGAAAGGGTTAGGGCAATGTGGGTAAAGGCATTTGTTGGGAAGGGGTGGGGAATGGTCAAGCTGATTATTATAATTTATATATTAGTCTCTAGAGTATTCGCCATAATGAAAATTTATCATAATAACATAACATCATGACATTATGGAAATTTATTGGTAGTATGTAGAAGTGTAAATGTTAAAATATACTTTAGCCATTGCTAAAGTAGCTTAGAAGTTGCCTTGGATATGATACTTAATGAGCAGTAATTTATCCTATAGAAATTTTAAAGTCTGGTTTTGCTGCCACTTGGGGTGGGAGTGGATTAATTTCTTTTTAAGAAGGAGGGGTTGGGAAAGTTTTTATGTTTATTTACAAGACTGGCTTATATGTTAAACAGGAGTTTTGTTAAGAAATTAATGTGCTACACTATTTAATAAAGGAGGCATCTTTTAGTCTGAGAATTCGGCCCTGCATTGAGGACAAACTAGGGAATTCAGCCTCACAAGAACAGGTTTCAGACATTGACGTTACTACAAGTCCAAAAGGGAAAGGTGACAGACCTCCTCAGAATGACAGGGAACTGAGGCCTAATAGGAAATATAGCCGAAAACGTGGATTTCCCTCAAAGGTATACTTCATAATATTAACTTGGGAAGTCTAAATGACCATTTCTTTTGTTCATATTTCCTGTTCCTTATTTGCTTTTTTCTTGTTATTGCTATCATTCTAAATATATAAATTATTAGTGTGGTTAATTATTATGCTGTAATTTGCTTTAGTAAAATCCTGTCCCTTACTTTTTTTTTTCTTTCTGCTTTCATATATACTGCTTCATGGATTATATGTTGCAGCTGATTTTAATTTACTTTAACAAAGGATTTGAAAGACAATTCAACAGAGGACTTGAAACATAATTTCATTCCTTTTTTGTTGTCAAAATATATAGCACATTCTGAAGTCTGGACCATCAGTCAGTTGCTTTTTGTTTCTGATATTAGTGTGCATATATTAAAATAAAATTTTTTACTCTTATTTCTTAATGTTCATTCAGTAAAACTCCACTAATTTTAAAAATTGTCGGGAATTCACTCTTGGGTTTGTGAAAAATCTGAACAAGATTATACTTATTTTAAAGGAAAAATAGAGCAAGCTATTAGCTTTCCTATATTTGTAAGAGTGAAATACTTTTATAGTTTTTTTTTGTTTGTTTATATTTTTGTTGCTAATGGAGACCTTTGTCCTTTTTTTTAAGTAAAGTAATTATTCAGTTGACTTGTATGAATTTTTTCACTGGATTCCTTCAGTGTTTGTCCTTTTAATTTTTTATGGCTTGTATAAAGAAAGGCATTGAAGATAAATTTAAACACAACTATTTGTACCAATATGGATAAAATAGTGTTTGCGGAAGTGTTTATATCCTATTGCCAAGAACAAAGTACTATCTTAATAGTTGAGTATAGAAAGGAGTAATCTCATGTTTTATTATGAATTCTGTGGAATTGATCATTCTTTTGTATTTTGTAGATATTTGTATTTTCTTTTTGTGACTGTTGAAAGATCACTAACCTTGATCTGGATATTTTGGTAGTTTGTGTTTTTGTTTTTTTCTGGTTCGCACAAGAAATTGAGTACACAGTTTAAAATCCTTTTTGAGGATCCTATTATATAGTGTTAAGCAGAAGGTATCCTAGCTCAAAAGAAGAATAAAATAGCTGGTTATTTTTAAAAACCAGTAGTCTTGGAGGGGAGAAAATGAACAGTAAGTATAATAGGTATCTTTTGAAATTTTTGTCTTTCTCTTTAATCCTTCTGAATAGTGACAAAAATGAAGAGTTGACTACAGTATATTTTTGCCAGATCTGCTTATTTCCTAATATGTTATATTTACTTAAAAAACCTTTTTTTAGGTTCCTTTAAAGCATATCCTTAGAAATGAATATCATTCTTTCTTGAACTTGTTGATGTTTATTACAATCTAGGTCTTCATTGGTTTTAGGGACACCACAGTGTTGTTTTATTATTACTCAATTCATAAAATCATTTTAATTTTTTAGGAAAAAACCTTAATTCCCACCACTGGCATTTATTTTTTTTCTCTGCTCTACAGAATATGTCATTTTCACACCCTTTTCCCATTCCCTCCTTAGAATCCTTTCAAAATAGAAGAAGTTGAGGTCTTAGCTGTTTTCAGAACTGACAACAGCCTTGTGATTTGCAGCTTGATAAGAAGAGGTTGATAGTCTCACACTGCTTATAAAGGCAGATTCCACTTGAATATTTTATAGACATGATGACATTTTGTGTAATTTTGTAAAAGAAGCCTTCAACAAGTACTCATGCTTTTTTTGCTATTATTTCTAATTATTTTATGTGAATTAGCCTTAACTGCGTATGCTTCTTTAGAGATTGTGTCCTATACTTCTGTGTTTAGAACCCAAGCACATAATTTTGGGGCACACTGTGTTTTAAAGAGGACCAAACAGGAGATTAGGAACCTGAATTTACCTGTGACACTCGATAAATTATAGCTTTACTTCTTGGGGTTTGTATCCTTATCTTTGCATCTTTCACAAAAAAATTGGAGCACATACTGTCTTTAACTATAGATATTATAGAAGTATGTTTGGATCTATGAATAATTGCTGGGAAGCCCCTGTTTCATAGAGGAATGGAAGATGAAAAGTTTCCTGAAATTTGATTAATAGATATATATATAGAGATATATATATATATATACATAGATATAGATATAGATATAGATATGCAACTTGTGATTTTATGCCTAAATTACTGTTTTTTTAATCTGCAAATTAAAAATGTTGTTGGTAAAGGTGACCCAAAAAGTTTTAAAGTATGTGTTTGAAGGATGGGAGTACTCCTGGCTTCCCTTTTGGATTTCTGTTCCAAGTAAAATCTTGTTGCCATTTTACTTCTAGATATTTTTATTTCCATTTTCTCATCTTCCCTTTCTTTGTATTTGATTATAGTCCTTACCTTCTCCCTTGGCTTAGCTTTTCTAAATATTAGTCTGAAATACTATTTATATGGATGCAAAAGTTACTAAGAAGCTGTAGAACTTCACTAATTTTAAAAGTTGTTGGGAACTCACTATTGGATTTGTAAAAAATCTGAACAAGATTATACTTATTTTAACAAATAAATAGCATTCTCTATAATTAGCGTGTCATACTTTTGCAAATAAATGCTATTAACAAAGATTAAAGTTTTTTTGTGTTGTTGGGGTTTTTTGTTTTGTTTTATTTTGTTTTGGTACAGGGGATTGAACTCAGGACCTTGCACTTGCAAGGCAGGTTGTGGCACCACTGAACTAAAGATTTTTAGCTGATTTTTTAAAGTTTCCTTTTTAAAGAGCAAAATATTTGTAATATTAAGTTGTTTAGTAAACCTGAAAAACTACATAGCTTGAACATTACCTGGAGTCTAAAATATTTTGAGGAGGTGAGAGATTACAAATAAGGTGAAAATAAGCATTCTTGAGGGGGCTTATTTGCAGATGATTTTTTTATTTGCAGTATAAATTACCACTTTTACTCTACCAAAGTGAATGCATATGTGTTCATTGATAGCAGCCTGGAGACATTTCTGTGAGTTGCCCCTTTAAGATTTGTACCTATTTTGATCTGGTTTTACATTTTACCAGTGACTTTTGTGAAATTATTAAAAGATTTTTTCTCATCAAATCTGAGAGGGTTAGATATTGATATATTTATCTCTACCCCTTCATTTTTTTTCTAAAGATGTAAAGTCTTGAAATATTGCGAACTGAAAAGTTGAATTTTGACAGGGATAAATGTAATTTGATAACAAGAAAACTTGTATGGTTTGCTCTACTTGTATAGGGTGGAATAAAACTGATTATCAGTAGTAGTTTGAGTAGATTTCAGTTTATTAAAAATTTATGACAGAGAAATCTTGCGTAAATAGTTTGTTAACTGAGATAATAGGTTATTTGTCATGTTTATGAAGTCTAGAGATAGTCCAGGATATGTAGATAAGGTCCTGGCTCCCATTTACATCAAATACTCTCAGCATAATTTACTTCCTGTTTTATTTTAACTTTCTCTCAGTGCTTAGCTATGTGCATGTGATTTTTTTTTTGTTCACTTACTAAATGTTTTAATTTTCAAGTCACACTGTAAAATGTTTTCATGCTTACACATTTTACAATATTAATGAGTTCTAGTTGGGGAAGCAAAGAGAAGAGGCTCTTTGCATAGTATTGGTAAGGGATGTCACCCAGAAGGAAACTTCTCTTGAGCTTTCTGTGTGCACCATAGTCTGTCCAGATTCAAATGAATACAGGGAAAGTAGATCAGTGCATTTTTCTTTCAAAGGAAATCATTCAACTTTTTTTACTCTCCTCAGTAATTTTGGGCAGGAATCATTCATTGGAAATTTATATAACTGTAATGAAAAAGTTACCAGTGCAAATTTAAAATTGAACAAAGTACAATAAAGGAGAATATTTTAGGTATTAAGTAATTTTCTTGTGTGTGGCCTTGCAAATGCCAGGCAAGCATTTTACCACTGTAACATCCATAGACCTTAAATTTTAAAAAATTTAATGGTATATCAGTGCTGAAAATATTTTATGCATATAATTTATTTTTTTCAGGTTGAGTTTAAATTTGTGTCAAATTGACTTTTCTTGTTGAGTTACATATAGAATAGTTTTGGAATAAACATTTAAAATTTGATCATTTTTTGTAAGTGATGATTTTTTAATCTGTTTCTTCTAGATAGGGTGAAAACTTCCCTTGAGGGAATTTGAAAATTACTTCTATTTTGTATCCTCACACTCAGCTTGATGCACATATTTGAAGAGTAAAAATAGTCATGACATTTGTAGTAAAAAATTATAAAATGTTCAGCATTGTTGTTTACCTAGTATTATATACAGTTAAAGTGTTTTACATAACTCCAAATTTTAAAAATTGCATTTTTAAAATTTCTATTCTTGGCTAGAAGTTGAAGGGTTTGTTTGAGTTCTGGGATTTTTGCTTATTTTGTTGTATGTTTTGGATTTTTAACAAATTATGGAGTGAGGCCAAAAGTTTCTTAGTTTGGTCTTTTTTACTGAGACTTTTGAAGTGTTCACCCAGCATTATCTGCTCCTGCTTCTCTATAGTCCTGGATTTTCTATAGAACTTCATATTTTTCTGTGTATTTGTGTGAGGCTCCTTTTGTTCTGTTAGACTCATCTTCCATTTCATGTATCTTTTTTCTTTTTTAAATTCTTTATTATAAGCCATTGCTTATGACCTTTTACTGTGAAATTACCTAACTCAGTATGGCAAGCTGTCTCTATGTCATCATTCTATTCTTTTTCTTCAAATCTACTAAAATTCTGTCTAGGGTTGTATATTTAATACTAGATTTTTATCTGTGTATATACTTTTTGTTGGTAGTTAAAACAGAAATACGGATTTTAATAGTCAGATGTAAGTATTATTGTTCTTACTTTCCAGGCCAGAGATCCTGAACAGGAGCCTATGGAAGAGATAGAAAATTTGAAGAAACAACATGATTTGTTAAAAAGGATGCTACAACAGCAGGAGCAACTTCGAGCTCTGCAGGGGCGACAGGCTGCTCTTCTAGCTCTGCAACATAAAGCAGAGCAAGCTGTTGCCGTAATGGATGATTCTGGTATGCCACACTCTGAAAATGTTTTTATAGGCAGGGCTCGATAAATAATTATATTGCAAAGTGGATGCTGTTATTATATATAATCAGATCATGATTGCTGACTAGTTTAGAAACCTGTATATGAGGCTTACCATGTCCTGTGCTTTTCTCTGGTGATGCAGAAAATTTGCAGGATATACCACTGGCCATCATACTGTACTGAGCCCACAGACAGCTTGCTCTTTTCTATTAGAGTGCACCCTAAAGGGGCAGGTTGTAGTTCTGTTTTTGGGGCTTGGACTGATAGGACTCTTGATATTCTTACTTCCGTTTTTTTTTTGTGTGTGTGTGTGTTTTATTCAACTAGGATTGTTTTTTGTTTGCTTCCCAAGGAAGGGTTACGCACCTTAACTGTCCATAACTTTAGAGAGCATCATTAGCATTGTGTTAGTTGTAGCTGTTATTATCTGAATTAGGTATCCAGTTTTATTTACTAGTACTTTTGAGCTTATAATATGATTCAAAAGTGGTCACTTATTTCCTTCTGTTCCTCATGGCTATGTATTATTTAGGTTAAAATTGTTGAGTTTTTGTATCGGGTCTAATTTTATAGCATGTTTCATCTTCAGACCTGTGTTTTAATTTATAATTATGTTAAAAATAAGATTATTATTAAAACTCAAGGCTGTTTTGTTTTTAGTTTTATTTTTAATAAACAAAATAATTGTGTATGGTTATGGGGTACAAAATTATTAGTTATGACACACTCTTCCATCAGCTATGTTTTAATTTATGTTTTCTAATAATCTCTTGCTGTCTTTAGATTCTACTAATAATTTATCTCCTTGTGATCAGCTTGGGAGTTTTGACCTGCTCCATTTCAGACCTGGACCACTTCAACCCTCAGCAGCCTAGTGGTCCCCCGCTCTCAGGAGGTCACCATAATTTATCTCCTTTGACCATTCCGTTTTTGCCAGTGAGTTTAGGTCCTCACTGAGACTACCCTTTTATTACTTAATTTATCCCATTGTCTAAGCCTACTTGGCTTAGCTGTCTGATCACTGGCAAACCTTTAATTTTATGACTTTCAGGTAACTTACTCTTGAAATGTGATACAGTTGTATATACCAATTACTGGTTTTTGTCACCATTTTTTACATATAAAATCTAAAGGACCATTAGAAATTATATGCAGGAGATAGGTTATTAAGGAAAAATAATTAAAATATTTTTAACATAAAGGCTAGTACCATTTTGGAAAGGACTAACCATATAGATGTTTTTCCGGCTTCCATTATCAGATTTTTTTTCTTTTATTGAGTTTATTGGTACATTTTACGTATACAGTACGGTTACATTCATTATTGGGATCTTGTACCGTTACATGATAGGTGGTCGTGGTTCTCATTTTTTCCCCTTGTCCTTGCCCTCCTTTCACCTCTCCATTTACAAACACTTTATTTCCATTTTTTTCATTTTCTCATATTTTTTTCCCTTATTACCTTTCCCCTACCCTTCCCATTTTCCCTACACCTTTAGCCCTTTTCTTCCCATTTCACAATGTCAGTTATCTCATTGGGATCTTATGTACTATTACAGTTTATTCACACCAGGGAAACTATTCGGTATTTACACTTATGGCTTATTTATTTCACTTAGGAGTGTATCCTCAATATGTATCCATTTTCTTATGAATGAGTCTAATTTCTCATTCTTTATGGCTGAGTAGTATTCCATTTTATAGAAAAACTACATCTTTATCCAATCTCCAACTGATGGGCAAATGGGCTGTTTCCAAGTTTTAGCTATTACAAACTGTGCCTCTATAAACATGGTTGCGCATATACTCGTGTGGTATGATTCCTTTAATTCTTTTGGAAAGATACCCAGCAGAGGAATAGCTGGGTCAAATGGGACCTCACATGCTAGTTCTTTGAGATATCTCCATATTGATTTCCACAGTGGTTGCACCAATCTGTACCCCCACCAACAATGGAGAAAGGTTCCTTTCTCCCCACAACCCCGCCAGCATTTGTTATTGAGTGATTTCTTGATAGCCATTCTTTGTGGCGTGTTGTTTTCATCTGCATCTCTCGAATAACCAGTGATGTGGAATATTTTTTCATATATTTAGTTGCTGCTTTTACTTCTTTGTCTGAGAAATGTCTGTTCATTTCAGATGCCCATTTTTGAATCAGGTCTTTATATTTGGGGTTGCTGATTGTTTTGAGTTCTTTAAATATTGTAGATAATAGTCCTTTGTCTGAGGAGCAGCTGGTAAAATTTTTTTCCCACATTGTAGGTTGTCTCTTAGTTCTGTTGATGGCTTCTTTTGCAGTGCAGAAGCTTTTTAATAAGATGATATCCCAGTTGTTGATTCTTTCTGCTAGTTCCCGTGCTACTGAGGATTTGTTCATAAAGTCTTTTCCTATGCCACTGTCTTCAAGAGTTCTGCCTAACTTATCTTCCAGCAAGTTTAGTGTTTCTGTTTTAATATTTTTAGATCTTTAATCCACTTGGATTTTAATTTAGTGCATGGTAAAAGATAAGGGCCTAGTTTTAATCTTTGGCAGGTTGAGATCCAGTTTTTCCAATACCATTTATTAAAGAGGCCATCCTTCCTCCAGTGGGGACGGACAGCTCCTTTGTCAAAGATGAGGTTGCTGAGTACCTCATCATTATCAGATTTTAAAGACCTCCTTTAGTAGTTATATTAATCACAAATGTGTACATTTACGTCACCATGTGATCAACATAGAATTGTAGGTTAGTATGGAAAGACTTTATTCTTACTCCTGTATTATAGAAAAGAAATTCAGTTTCTGACTTGCCTAGGTTTGTATAGAATTTTGGTAGAATTGGAGTTCTTGAAATCTAGGTCAGGGGTCTTTGAAATTGTAAATGTAAACTTTATAAAGAGTAAATAATTTCTTTTTAAAAAATATGCTATCATGGGCCAGGTGTGGTGGTGCATACCTGTAATGCCAGCACTCTGGAGGCTGAGGCAGAAGAATCTGTGTGAGTTCAAGACCAGCCTGAGCTCCACATAGGGAGTTCCAGGTTTGTCTCAACTACATAGTGAGACTCTGTCTTAAAAAAAAAAAAATTGCTATCATGGATCAGGAATAAAAATAGACTAAAATAGAATTTTGAACTGGAATTCTATATACTACAAAAAGGATTTTGGCTTAATTTTAAAACAGTTGCTCTTTATAGAGATTTTTTTAGGGGGATATTGATAGAGGATCATAGTGTTTAATCTGGTGTGTAAGGGAGTCATGTAATTATAAGAAAGAGCATTTCACCATTTGGAGAGTTGCATATTAGTTAACTGTACTCTATAACTGTACATTCATAGGATCTGTCAGCACTAAAATGTTAATTTTTTAGCAGGAAATGATAATATTTTTCTTAAAATGAAAGCAATTTACAGCCTGTATTTCTTTCAGAACTAGAGTTAGAAGTGAAGATAAGGGTAAGGAGGTTGGGTGGTAGGGCAGTAACTTATCAAAATTTTCATCAGAAAACTGCTTTAGAAGTAGAAGGCCTTTTTTTTTTTTCTTAGTGAAGATAAAATCCATGGTCTCTTAGTATGACATATCACATGCAGTTATTTCAGCAAATTATCTGTTGTACTACAGGGGTAGCAAACTATAGATTCAGCCACTTGCCTGAAAAAAAGTTATATAGTATACAGCTATATCCATTTGTTTACATATTGTTTTTTTTTATGAAGTTTAACTTTTATTGGTACAATTTAGATATACATAATGATCACATGCATCATAAGGAATTTGTACATGTACCTGATGTATCTTGATTCCTCTTTTTTTCCTATTCCCCTTCCTTCCCTTAACCTCTCTTTCTTTCTTGTGCTCATCTAAAATAAAAGCTCCGCTTCCATTTTTTCCTTCTTTTCTCATCCCCCTCCCCTGTAGTTCTCCCTTTTGAACAATATTTTCTTATTTCACTTTGTCTGTTACACATTTTGGTCCCTAAGAGTAGGCAGCAAAAACAGTTTTGCTGTATACTGCCAAATTGTATTTACACATTGTTGATGGTTGCTTTTGGCAGAGTTGGGTAGTTGAGACGAAAACTTTCCCAGAAAGTCTAACCTGTTTATTATCTGAAGCTTTAAGCAAACTTTGCTAGATTCTGTTATATAGTATTGATTTTATTGGAGGAGCTGGAGATTAATATATGTCAGCTGTTCCTTTTCAATCTGTCACTTTGCACACTATTCCCTCAACCAAAACAAGCTGATAGACCTGCTTTACTCATAATAATAATAATAATAATAATAATAATAATAATAATAATAATAATAATAAGTTGGTCATTATTATTAATTGAGGTGAATACTATTCCCTCTTGTATGCTGGAATAGAAAAGACGAGCCATACTAGAGTTTTACAGTTGTCTATTTTTAGGATAGATAGGAATTTCTAATACAGGTATTTATTAGCTGAGGGTTAACTAGTTTCTTTTGTAAATTTTTATTAGTGCATGTTTGTAGTACGTAATGATGACATTCATTTTGTAGAATTGGTACATGTACATAAGTTAATTAGTTTCAAATTATGTTAGATGAGTTTTATTGTTAAATTTTGTTTAGCTACTCAGATATTTAAAAAAGCATTTTATATTAACAAATAATTATGAATGTTTCCAGTTGCAGAAACCACAGGTAGTTTATCGGGAGTCAGTATCACATCTGAACTAAATGAAGAATTGAATGATTTAATTCAGCGTTTTCATAATCAACTTCGTGATTCCCAGGTAACTTAATCTTTTTTAGTATGGTTGAGTTTATAGCTCAACCATAACCATAACTACACAGTGGTCCTCAAACATGAATGGAGCATGATTATCTTCTACAGAATGGTTGAAGTTTGGTCAGTGTAGTGACGCCCTCCTTCCAGTCATGGTCATGAGGCCTGGTGGGCTCCCTGGCACGCATTAGAGGAAATTTACTTTGAAATTATTAGCAAAATTTTCCTTTTGTATGCTACTAAAAAATTTGTTCTTTTTTCCCCTAGAAAACTGACTAGTCATATAAGTTTTAAGACTGACATTAAATCTGTCTCCTTGCAATACTTTACAGTAGTTTTACCAACAACTTTTGAAAGTTCTTATTTGAGAGTTGATGTGTTTTAATTTTGTGTACTTTGTAAATAATGATATAAATGCAAATTTATAATATGTGAGCTTTGGATAAGAAAGGGTAAATTAATACTTCATTGAAAATTAATGTGCTTGAAGATGCATTGTCTTGTGTATTCTTGCTGAGCAAGTGAAAAAAGAATATGATCTTAGATGTTTACAAGGAGATAGGTATGAGAGTGCTTATGGCACCATTGTGTTAGTAGCAAGAAAAAAAACTCAGAAATAAATAACTTTTTTCCACTTCATGAAGGAAAATGAATTAATAAATTATATGTAGACTGAAATTCTGTGTAGCAGTTACTATAGTAAATGAACCAGAGTTAATGAAAACTGCTAAGTTTAAGAAGGATACTTAGGCCTGGCGATGTAGCTCAAGGTTAGAGTGCTTGCCTCACATTCATGAGGCCCTGGATTGAATCTCCAATACCACAAAAATGAATAAATAAATAAAAATATACTGCTTTAAAATAAAAATTTTTATGGATGTTACAAAGTAAAAATATGTACAGAAATAATAGATGATCTAATTTCAGATTGTGATTACTTCTATAGAGGGTACTGGGGGTTTGGGAACTATTTGTATAGAGGCTTAACTATGCCTCCAGTGTTATATTTTCTTTTTTTAAAAAATGAATAGATACAGAGCCAAGGATTTAGCTCAGTGGTACTGCGCCTGCCTTGCAAGTGCAAGGTCCTGAGTTAGATGCCTAGTACCAAAAAAAAAAAAAGGATAGATACAAATGCGGGAAATGGTTAAAATTTGACAAAGCTCAGTGTAGACTTTCATTATATGATTTCCTGAGCCTTACTGCATGCTTGAAATACTTCATAATTTTTTTAAAAATAAAAAAACAGCTGGGCATAGTGGTACACTCCTATAATCTCAGCATTCAGGAGGCTGAGGCAGGTGGAACACTGAGTTTGAGGCCAGCCTGGGCTGATTGTGAGTTCAAGGGCAGCTACATAGTGAGATCCTGTCTCAAAAAATTGGGAAAAAAAAAAAAACAAAAACAAAAAGAGGAGCATATGTAGGCCTGGAAGTTGAAGTTTATGGTGATGTTTCTAAAAGATGAGAGAGGTTGTGTGTGGTGCTGCATACCAGTAATCCTAGCAGTCTGGAAGGCTGAGGCATTAGGATCTCGGGTTTGATCCCAGTCTCAGGAATTTAGTGACACCCTCTTAAAAATAAAGGACATCTATTTAACTATTGGTGCAACCTAGGCAAAATGTCTCTATTATAAAGAATATTTATACTTAAAGTAATTCTAAAATGAGAAAGCAGCTTTTAATTGCCTTTGTCTTAATGGGTTTTCTTTTCTTTTTAAAATAAGCCTCCAGCAGTTCCTGACAACAGAAGACAAGCAGAAAGTCTTTCATTAACTAGGGAGGTTTCCCAGAGCAGGAATCCATCAGTTTCCGAAGATTCTGAAGAGAAAGTCCACCTTTTTAGCAAAATGAGAGTGCTACAGGAAAAGAAACAAAAAATGGACAAATTGCTTGGAGAACTTCATACACTCCGAGATCAGCATCTGAATAACTCAACGTGTAAGTAAATCTGGTTCAGCAATATTACATAGAGGACATATTAAGTATATATGCTGGTATGTAATAGTTAAAGAATATTTGATGAGTAGATAGTTTTTCAAGAAATCTATAATTTTTATGGGGAGATAAAACTTGAATTTGAAGTTTTAAAATAACAAGCCAGCATCTGATAATAGTCAGATGCATAACAAATCTATTCAGAAAAGGGAAAGAGCAAAGTTGGGCCTTGGAAAAGTAATATAATTTTTTAAGCGGCAGAAGAAGTAACTTTGATATTTGTACACAGTGCTGCACTTTTTAGAATATTCAGATTTTTCCCTAAGGAGAAATGAGTCCTATGTGTACTTTGATTGAAAAACTCCAAAACTATGGGCTGGAAGTGTAGTTCAAAGGTAGAGTACTTGCCCAGAGTGCTTGAAACATGCTTGATGCTGGTGTGCTTGAAGGTTTGATCTCAGCTCTGCAGAAAATAAAAACCCTAAAACTGAAACAAATTTAGAGACTGTTTAGAACAAAAGCAAGGGAGGGAGAGAGAGAGGTACGAAAAAACACATAGCATATGGTTTAGTACAGAAAATCTATGATTTATACCCCTGGACTTACATTCATTTAAGAAAGATGTGTAGTTGTTTCAGGCAGCTGTTACTATAGGAAATGTCTTAATGCTGCACAGATATTCTACTTGCTGTAGTTCTTTTTGGTATTTTTGGTCCTGGGGATTGAAGCTAAGGCGTTGGCACATGCTAGGCATGTGCTTTACCCTGCCCATTCTGAACTGGACCTAGTTGCTAGTCTTGCGATCTGAATACCCTCTTGAGTGTGGTTCCTGCCACTTACTAACACAACTGGACTTGAACACTGGACATGGAAGTCAGTAGGAGCAACCCAAATTGGTTATTATTCTTTAACATTCCAGTCAATGTCGTACTAAAAAGAGATGATAAGGATAAAAACATCACTTCTGGAGTCCCTGTTTTTTATTCTCCACCCATTTTGTTTCTCTGCCACCCTCCCAAAAAAACCCTTACATTTCTGCCAAGGATGGAGGTGTTTGTCTGTAATCCTAGCACTCAGGAGGCTGAGGTAGGAGGATTGTCAACAGTGGCCAGCCTGAATTACATAGTAAGACCCTGGAACATACATCTTTTCCCTGATTTCTGCTAGTTTTCTCCTCTAGAGTATAATTTCAGTACCTTTACAAACAGAGTGAGACAACTGCGAAAAACTTAAAATTTGAAAGTTGTTCCTGTAGTCTTGTGAACAGTTTTATGCATATAAAGAAACACTCTACCTACTCATAACTCCATCATCTTTTCCCCAGAGGGAAAACAGGAGAGCAGTAACTGACTACTGGAAACCAGCGACAGCAGTGTGCCATAAGCAGCAAGCAGTAATAGTCCCTTTGAAAAAGAAAAACAATAGTTTTGAAATGAAGAGGAAGAAAAGTGCAAAGATTCTTCATTCATATTAATTGCCCTGGAAGGCATATCTTTATCTGATGTAGATAGGAAATAATTAAAATTTATCTGAGTACTCTTTTATTTTTCCAAATTGCAGTATCATAATTCTTGCAGTCCTTCTCCTCCCTGTTTTTAACCCAGTGATCCTAATGCAAAGTAATATGGTATTTGCCAGTAATCCCAGCATTTGGGAGGCTGAGACAGGAGAATTGCTGTGGGTTTAAGGCCAGCCTGGGCTGCATAGTTCAAGGCCAGCCTGAATTACATAGTAACACTATCTCAAAAAACAGGCAGAAAAACAAAAAATAATAGAATCTCTTGAAGAAAGAAGTAAAAATCTGTTTTTTGCATGTATTTTGATGTGTTTAGTTGTGGAGTACGTTAATAAATAAGTGGCCTGGAATAGTTTTAAGTTTCTAAAAATTGAAGACATGAATGGTTTTTAATTTTTGTTTCCCAGTCTCTAAGCAAACTATTGTTTGATGCCATTTTCGTTTAATTATGGGAACTGATAACTTGGTGACTTTCCTCTTTTTTTCTATTTGTGCCTTCTTCAGCCGCTCCACAAAAGAGTGCAGATCAGAGAAGCCCAAGCTCAGCCGCCTCCGCCTCTGTAGGCCTGGCACCAGTTGTCAATGGAGAGTCCAATAATAGCCTTACGTCACCTGTTCCTTGTCCTGCCACTTCTCTGGTTTCTCAGAATGACAGTGAACGTGAAAGCCATCTAAATCCAACTGAAAAACTCCAGTAAAACATTCTTTTAAAATCTTTGTTAATGTAGATTAGAATTAAGTGATGGGGATAAAGTTGGGGTTTTTTTCTTTGTGTTGGAATTTTGGGGGAAACAAGTTATTAATAAGATAAACATTCTTATGTTAGGAATTATATGTGCATTTTATTAGTTGATGAAGAGAACTCTGACATAGAAACACATGGAACTTGGAACTTGCAAACTGATATTATTTCTTATTTTCCAAAGGAAGGGTCAGAAGTAGCTGGGCTGTAGTTAAAATTTTTCTTATTCAAATGAAAAGACTCAGGCTCTATAGTCATACAACCCTGGAGTTACATCATGAAAGGCATTGTCACTGTGGACCAATAACTTGCCTTACTAAGCCTCTGTTACTTCATCTGCAAAAGAGGGTAACAGTATACCTGTCTATAAGCGTTTTTTTTAACTATACTTTTAATTGATACACAGTAATTGTACGTATTTATAGGGAACAGAGATTTCGGGTTTGTTTAGGAACTAAAATATTAGTGTATTTCTTGCAGTTAAGTAGACAACTCAGCAAACTTAGTTTTTTAGTTAAAAATATATACTTTATAGATTTATTTTTATGTGGGCATTTGGAAATCTATAAATATACAATAATGTCTGATTTGCTTGAGAGAATAAATTAAATATTAGTACTTCCACATGAAGAAGCCTAGAAATGTTTTGACCTTGAGTTTTCTGCTGTTCATAACTAAAATTGAAATTGGTTGTTTATGTTTTTGTCCCTAAAACAACATAAGAAAATAAAGTCTTAAGATTTCAAGTAAATCGTACTTGCAGTTAAACTTACTTCATTGTAGTCAGATTCCCTCAGTACTTGATAAAGTCTGGAGAGAGAGGGAAGAAGGTAGAGAATACTGCCTGCTATTTTACAAAAATAGTGTGAGCTGGGCGTGGTGGTGCACACCTGTAATCCCAGCACTTGGGAGGCTGAGGCAGGAGGATCGCTGTGAGTTTGAGACCAGCCTGGGCTACATAGATATTGAGTTCCAGGTCATTCTCAACTACATAGTGAGACCCTGTCTCAAAAAAAAAGAAAAGAAAAGATAAAAGAAAATAGTGTGTGTTTTTTTTTTTGTTTTTGTTGACATGGGTGTTTATATATGTTTATCAGGAAGTTAAATGAAGTTCGAAAGAGATTGAATGAATTAAGAGAGTTAGTTCATTATTATGAGCAAACATCAGATATGATGGCAGATGCTGTTAATGAAAACACAAAAGATGAAGAAACTGAAGAGTCAGAATATGATTCTGCACATGAAAATTCTGAACCTGTTGCTAACATTCGGTAAGAACTTTTTTGTAAGTGCTTCGGTGTATTCATCCTGACCCAATAGCTTTAGTGTAGTGTTGGTGGTGGAGGTGGGGGAGGGTAACCTCCTTAAAATTCTCAATATTTGTTCTTCCTTTAAGCTTTTGTCCTATAAGTCTACTATTTTGACCAGTGTAATCATTCTTGCCCTGTAAAGGTAATGTAAGAGAAGTACTGAACATAGCACATGGTAGGTAGTGTATTCAGTTTGCTGTCAAATACAATAGAGCGAAAAGAATATCTCACTTAGCATTTTTCTTTCCTTTATCTTTAGGTGTAATTTTAATTTCTCAGATGTGCTTCATAAATTTACAAATAACATATGTAAAAGTTATTGAAAAGTAGGAGCAGATTATTAAAAATTTGAAATTAAATGGTGTAACCAGTGATTTCTTTATTTTGAAACTGTTTTACTAAGGCTCTGAAACTGATTTTTTTAACTTTAGTTTCTCTTTCTTTCAGAAATCCACAAGTATCTGCCACATGGAATGAAGTAAATAGTAATAGTAATCCACAGTGTGTTTCTAATAATAGAGATGGGAGATCAGCTAATTCTAATTGTGAAATAAACAACAGATCTGCTGCCAACATCAGGGCTCTAAACATGCCTCCTTCTTTAGGTAGGATTGATTATATCCTATGGTTTTGCCATATCATTCTTATGAAGTATATCATCTTTCGCTAATACTCTTAATTTAACTTAAAAATTATAGACTGGATGATGTGTTTTTAGCAGATTGTCGATACAATAGAGAAGGAGATGAAGGGATTCATGCAGCACAAGGGGAAGATGATGATGATGAAGAAGAAGGAGAAGAAGAAGAAGCAGAAGAAGAGGGAGTCAGTGGAGCTTCGTTATCTAGTCATAGGAGCAGCCTGGTTGATGAGGCCCCAGAAGATGCAGAATTTGAACAGAAGATCTACAGACTTATGGCTGCGAAACAGAAACTTCAACAGTTACAAGATCTTGTTGCTATGGTTCAGGTAAATATTGAATGTTTCTTTGGGAAAGACTATTAAATGGTACATTCTTATAAAGTAAAATGTGTGTGTGTGTGTGATAGCTGTGCTGGTACAGTATAATTAAAGCAGTATGCCTTTTTTGTGGTGGTAGGGATCAAACCTAGGGCTTTGAATATGCTACTCACGCACTCTACCGCTGAGCCACCTCCCTACCCTTCGTTATTTCTTACATGCCTGCTTTAAAGACTTAGTGTTTTATATTGTATATCAGCACACTTTTTCTAAGAAGGATGAGTTAGTAGGTGTTTTGGTCACAACTTTTCAGTGCAAAATAGGCATACGTAATTTACTGTGGCTGTGTTCCAGTATAGTTCTATATACAAAACCAGATTTTTGGTTTTGGTTTTGTTTTTGCTGATAACCTTAGCCTATGCCAAGTAGATCTTGTAGCATTACAATAAAGTAGACAGTAAACATATTGAAGAGGTGTGAATTGCCCAATGTTATAGATCTATTAATAATTTAGACCACCTGACAGCAGAGCCTGAGATCTTAACCCACTTTATGTAAAAGACAAATCTTATAGTCTTACTCAGTAAAGTTAAATATGTAAAGTTGGAAGTTGTATTTTGTTTTGTTTTGTTTGTGGTATGGGAGATTGAACCTAGGGCCTTCTCACTGAGTCGTAGACTTGGCCCATTTCTAATTTTGAGAAGGGTTGCTAAGTTGCCAGGCTGGGCCCAAACTTGCAATCCTCCTGCCTCAGCCTACTAAAAGTGCTGGGAGGGTGGAAGGGGTAATCATAAATTTTTTAAACCAGTGTACATATATGAAAATATTCATGTTTTCACTTCTATATTAATGTAGTCTATATACTTATTTAGGTTTTCTCAGTTTAGTAAAATAGATATAACCTGTCCAGAGCAACAAAAATGATTTAACTTTTAAAGTCATTCCTTTTTATCTTTTCTCAGCTGTTATATATTGCTGTCCTTTTACCAGTGCAGTATAATTGGTAGTCTGTTTTGCATTACTCTAACGAAATTCTGAGGCTAACTATAGAAAAAATAAGTATAGTATCTCACAGTGCTGGAGTGGTGCTAGGGCCCACATCTGATGATGGCCTTCGGGCTTACAGAGTCCTGAGGTGGTGCAGAGCATCACATAGCAAGCAATAGGGAACATACATTTATATCTGTATCTCTGATAGCCATCTCTTTTCTTACAAAGCCACTGGTGTTGACTGTTGGGAGCTCTCCTCTGATGATGACCTTACTCAATCCTGATCACCTCCCAAAGGTTTTACCTTTAACAATAGTGGCATTAAATTTGCATCCTTTAAATACTTCACAGTGGGATTTAAATTTCAGTACAGAACCCTTGAGGGATATTCTCCAAATCATAGCTATATGATAGCACTGAATAATTAGTGAGTCACATTTTAAATGATTTTGGTTTTAGAGTTTCATTTCTTGCCATTGAGAAAAGATAAAGTTTAGTTTACTGTAAAATTCTGTGCTTTATTGCATTATTTTATATAAATTGTATTGCTTAATGCATTTTGGTGTGAATTGTATAGTCTTAGATAGCAACATAATTTTAACATGGTGTTTCAGGATGATGATGCAGCTGAAGGAATTATCTCTGCCAATACATCAAATTTGGGTGATGTCTACCCAATAGAAGAGGATATCAAACAAAATTCAAATAATGCTAGAGGAAGTACCAATAAAACACAGAAAGATACTAGAGTAAATGAAAGAGCAAGGTATGCTAAGCTTTTTTTATTTCATTTGATAAAAATTTAGTTCCTGTTTTATTTTATTTAGTTTTTTGGTTTTTTGAGACAGGCTGGCCTGGAACTCATTTGTAGCCCAAACTTGCAGCAGTCTTCTTGCCTCAGCCTCCTGATTGCTGAGATTACAGGCACATGCCTCCATGCTGCCTGGCTCTAGTGCCTGTTTTAGAGAAAGTAGTAGGCTAGGTAATTGCGTTACGTTTTGCTTAGTACCATCAGCATATTTTAATTGTAGTCCACAAATACAATGTCAATGTAATTACAGAGAGAAATTTTACGAGGCTAAATTACAGCAGCAACAGAGAGAGCTAAAACAACTGCAAGAAGAAAGAAAGAAACTGATTGAGATTCAAGAGAAAATTCAAGCATTACAAAAGGCATGTCCTGACTTGCAGGTGATTATTACATTTTTTCTAATTGTCTGAAAGAATGACAAAGCAAAACATGTTGAAAACCTTATGTCACCTGAAAACTATTGTCTTTTTTTTTTTAATACTACGCTGAAGTGACAGTTATATCTACTAGTTCTGTAGATAAACTAATGAAATGGGTTGGGGATATGTTTTATTGTGACAATAGCACAGTGAAATTGATTTGTTATTTCCATTACATTTTTTGGGTTAGCTAACCACTGATTTAGAACATGATTATTTGTAACTTTATTATATTAAAATATTCTAACTTGAACTTTGTAGTTATAGACCAGCATTTTCATTTTTTATTGGTCTAGAAATAAAGCCTTTAAGCCATCATAAATTATCTAAAGAAAATAATTATGTATAATTAGTTAGCACATTAAATATATACACTTTTACTTATGAGTTCTCTATTACATTTGTCTTTGAAATTAAACAGAATAAGCTTTGGTCATGTGAGATAATTAGGTGAAGGGTTAATATTGGAATGGAATTATGATTGTTCTGTGAGATCCTCCTAAACTTTATTGGTTAGCTTTATTCTTTATATTTTGTTTTAAAGAAAGGCAAACACATCAAATGATATTTCTAACAGAACTATCTTCTAACGCTTTCCTTTTCCACTTTAATATTTTTGATGTTTATCCCCCATCTAAATAATCTTAGGGACCATGTAACAGAGTTGGGATAAGTGTACAAAATTTTCCATAATAACAGTGGGTCACTATTGGCTTTATTGTTCCTGAGTGTTACTGTGGGTATTCACGAATTTTTCCCTGTGTTTTGATTTTTGTTGTTTTGATGATGACGATTGAGGTCTGATAAGAACACATTAAATATGATACTAGGGTGCTACAGAAGAAGGAAAATGACTGCCTATATGAAATTAATATAATTGCTTTAACACCTGATATTAGTTTTTGCTAATTCTTTTTTAGCTGTCAGCTGCTAGTGTGAGTAATTGTCCTACCAAAAAATATATACCAGCTGTTACTTCAACCCCAACTGTTAATGAAAATGAGACTAGTACAAGCAAATGTGTTATTGAGCCTGATGATTCTTCAATAGTAGATAATGAGGTACAGTAAAATACATTCTTTTGTCTCTGTATGGTCTTAAGTCACATTTTAAGAAGGGAAATGGTGTCTGTGAAACTTTTTTTTTTTTTTTTGTTACTTGGGTTAGTCAGCTTTACATTGCTGTAACAAAATTCCTGAGAAAAATAAAGGAAGAAAGACTTAGTTTGACTTGAGTTTTAGAGGTTATGGTCTATATTAGTCGGCCCCTTTGCTTTTAGGCCTGTGGTGAGGCAGAAGCATCCTAGTGGAAGGGTAAGGTGGAGGAAGGCAGCTAGGAAGCCAAGAGGAAGAGCATGTTCTGGATAACTTCCTCCTACATTTTTTCCATTGGGGCCCTCAGCAACTTGGCTGGTGCTGCCCACATTTAGAGCAGGTCTTCTCCATCAGTTCAGTACCCTGCATTGCCAGTCGTCTCTAGAAACTCCCTGTAGGCCTGTCCAGAGGTGTACTTTGCTACTTTCCTAGGCTTTTGGGTTTTTTTGTTTTTTAGGGTTGTTTGTTTAGTATTCTTTTTTCCTTGTTAGGGATTGAACTGAAGTCCTTTGCACTGAACCACATCCCTAGCCCTTTTTTATTTTTTATTTGATTTAGTCTCACTGTCACTAATGGCATCCTTTCAGGTGCATGAATTAGGGTGTGCACCACTATGCCCAGCTAGGAATTTCTTAATTCAATCAAAGTTGGCAGGATTAACTGTCACATTATTTGGTTATCTATTTTTTTTTGTTTGAGATGCTATAGATCAAACCTAGGGCCTTTTGCACATGCTAGGCAAGTGCTCTATGTAGAACATGTTTTCAAATTGTAGTGTGTTTTGTGCCTTTTAGTTGGAGCAAATCAGTTTTTTCCAAAAAATACTCATTTTAACAAACTCATGTTCTTTATAATTGTATAATTATACAATTGTACATGTTCTGTATAACTGTATAATTGGCAGAACTTTATATAAGGGGGTAATTGTGGCACATACTAATCATTTTAATTAAAAAGACTTATCCTTTGGCCTTTTATTTTTATATTGTATTATAGAAAATATAACTTTTTCTGACTGGTCTGTGAAGTTTATTTGGGTGCTACTTTTTGTCATTAAGAATTAATGATTGTCCTTTTTCTTATTTATCACTAAATATTATTTTAACCTTTGTAGATATCTTTGTATAAAAAGGATAGAAGGAAAGCAGAAAGCTTAGTGTTAGTGACAAGATTCTGTAAGGCTGTTATTCTTTAAGGCTTCAGCAAGTCCAAGTATTTATTTGATTCTGATTTTTAAAACAATAGTTTTGGTCAGACATGCGAAGACATGAAATGTTGAGGGAAGAGCTGCGCCAGAGAAGAAAGCAGCTTGAGGCTCTGATGGCTGAACATCAGAGGAGGCAAGGTCCAGCTGAAACTACATCTCCAGTGGCGGTGTCGTTAAGAAGCGATGGATCTGAGAACGTGTGTACTCCTCAACAAAGTAGAACAGAAAAGTAAGAGAGTCGTTTAAATAATCTTTTTTTAAAAAATCACTTACTTAAAAATCTATAGGCAAGGCAGCCTTATTTTCATCTATTTCCTTCAAAGTGGTGCAGTTATCACCTTTGTGCATTATTTTAACTGAATCTGGCCAGTTTCTCTTTTGACTTTTTATAGCATCAGCTATCTTCATTTTCAAGTACTATGGCATTTAATCAAATGGTGATATGATACAGATTTTCTAGTGCCTTATTTTCTTAGTTTTTAGCTTATAAAAAGAAAATAGTGTTTTCTGTTACATTGTAAATGAGGATTTTTTTTTATAAGGTTCCTGAGTATCTTAAACATTTTGCTATATGAAATATTTAGTTTTTAGGGTTTAAGTTTGAAATTTCCATACTTAGCTTATTTCTAAAAGAGTTGGTCATCTGTGAGATCAGTTATACGCTTAGCTGTATACTAATATTTTGATTTGAAACCTTGAAATCCAGATTTGTTGCACCTGTACTTGTTCATATCCTCATACTATTTCTAGAACATTATTTTCCCTCTCTTCCTCTTAGAAGAACTTGTCCTATTCTTAGAGACCAGTACTATATGTCTCTCCTTTCATAGAATTCTTCAGGTAGCTTTGACGAATATCAAGCTTCGGAACCATTTGTCTAGATTTATACATACATTCTAATATGGCAGCCAGTAGATACTGGTGGCTATTTAAATAAGATTAAGTTGAAAATTCATTTTTTTAGTCTATATAAGCCACATTTTAAGTACTGAGTAGTCATGTATACTTAGCATCTACTCTATAGGGCAGCACAGATGGTACCAATAAATCATTACTAATGTTGTAGAAAGTTCTGCTGGACAACTCTGAGGCAGAGAACTGTCACCGAAGGAAAAGTTGAAGGATGTTTACTTTAAGAAAAAGGCCTAAGAATGGGATTCTATTTTAATTTATTTGATGAATTGTTTTGTTGTAGACAAATTAAGCATTGTGTAAAACAGCAATCAGGATAATAACATTCATCTCCTAGAGTTACTATGATTAAATATATTTTGATAAAATTATACTGTCTTTGATACAGAGTCTGATCTGTGATAGATTATAAAGTATTTAACTCATCTTCAGAACAGTATTTGTTATGTCTCATAATAGAACAATGGCAACTTGGGGAGGTTCTACTCAATGTGCACTCGATGAAGAAGGAGATGAAGATGGTTACCTTTCTGAAGGACTTGTTCGGACAGATGAAGAAGAAGAGCAGTATGCAAGTTCCAATGACAACATTTCTGTGTATCCTCCTAACAGTGTGAATCATAACTCCTATAATGTAAAGGAAACCAAAAATAGGTTAGTTTCAATGTTTTCATTTTTTTGCTTAGTTTACATATAGCAAGTCTTTCTGACTGACCCTGGGTTATTCTGCAATTCTTCAGACCAACTCCACAACTGTCCTATAATTCAGTTCACTTGTGGCACTAAGACTCAAGAGTTTGTGCAGACCCCAGAGCATCTTCATTTCAGGTGCAAGTGCCTGGTTCCCACGGTAACTGCACTTCTATCTGACTTGGCTACAAATTTAGTAGTTCCCATGACTCCTCTTTAGGTTTGATAATTTACTAGAACAACTCATAGAACTCAGGAAAATACAAAGATATTTATCAGTTTATTATGAAGTATCTACATCAGGAACAGTCAACTAGAAGGGATTTAGGGTAATGTGTATATACAGAGCTCTGTGTTCCCTCTGAGAAAGCCACTCTCCTTGCACTTTGATGTGCTCACCAACCCAAAAAGTTCTCTGAACTCCAGAGATTTTTATGGAGGTTTTATTATTATCCTGGTCATTCCTTTCACTGGGAAAAAATACCTGACACTACAACTTATAGGGGAGTTTTGGTTTGGCTCACAATTTCAGAGCGTCCATAGTTAGCTGGCTCCAAGGCAGAAACCGCATGGGTAACATAGTGAGACACTGTCTCAAAAAATAAATAATGTAAATAGAAATATTAATTGCATTGTTATTTATAACAGTGAAAATATCTCCATTTGTAAAAAAGATGGTTAAGTAGAAGTAACGGTTCTACTTGATTGAATGTTAATGTACCTAAAGTATGACTGGAAAATGCTTATGGTAAAATATTTTCATTGTGCAGAATACAGAGTTACATGAAATTTTCTGTGCAAAAACTTCAGTGAAAAAGACTGGAAAGCAGTTAAAATTGTACAAGGCTGTAAATCTTTAATTTTTAAAGCCCTTTGAACTTAAAGAGACTAGGGTACCACATTTATTTCTCTATATTAAAAAACAAATTATTACCACATTTGATGACTTAAGGCTTTAAATCTTACGTTAGGTGGAAGAACAATCGCCCTTTTTCAGCTGATGGAAATTATCGTCCTTTAGCCAAGACAAGACAACAGAATATCAGTATGCAACGGCAAGAAAACCTTCGATGGGTGTCAGAACTCTCTTATGTAGAAGAGAAAGAACAATGGCAAGAACAAATTAATCAGCTAAAGAAACAACTTGATTTTAGTGTGAACATTTGTCAGACTTTGATGCAAGACCAACAGGTAAAATTTACCATGATGCTTAATTTTTCATTTGTTTTCCCTATTTTTGAAGTAATACAAATTATTCTAAACTTACTAGTAACTATTACCTAAAATTTTCTTTCAAATAGACTCTGTCTTGCTTGCTGCAGACTCTTCTCACGGGTCCTTACAGTGTTATGCCAAGCAATGTTGCATCTCCTCAAGTACACTTCATAATGCACCAGTTGAACCAGTGCTATACACAGCTAACCTGGCAACAGAATAATGTTCAGAGGTAAACTGTTTCTTAGAAGCATTGAGACTGTGTAGTGAGTACTAAACTAAAATTCAGTGAGAGTTTTACAATTATCTTCTGTGAGAGAAAAGCAAGAGCCAAATTACATATTCAGACATTCTATACTACCTGAAAATTTTTAGATTCCTTATTGATGTTGTAAGGAGTGGGAATTTTAGCTTAGTGGTGCTGTTGCCTGTCTTGCCAGCACAAGGTCCAGAGTTCAATCTCCAGTACCAAAACAAAAAAGTTACCTTATTGATATTGTAGACTTCTATTTGCAAAATTCTGTATTATTAAATCATATCCTTACATAGAGTGAATTGTAGTATGTATATTATTACTGAAATAAAGCTATAAGCAAACAATTAGTTATAATATACCTAGTGTGTGATAGAAGAACCAAGTTCAAGTCTTGTTCCAAAGACTGTTAGTGAATTAAGTCAGCAGAGCAAAGAAATATTGGTTGTAGTAAATGTGCTATTGGATCATTTCTTATGTGTGTGTGTGTGGGGGTATACACATACCCCCACACACACACACTTAATATCCTTTTATATATGATAATATAGCTGACTTTAAATTTACCAATTTTCTGAATTTTGTAGGTTGAAACAAATGCTAAATGAACTCATGCACCAACAAAATCATAATCCAGAAAAACCTGGAAGTAAGGAAAGAGGCAGTAATACATCACACCCTCCTTCTCCCAGTTTATTCTGTCCTTTCAGCTTTGCACCACAGCCTGTAAATCTGTTTAATGTACCTGGATTTACTAATTTTTCATCATTTGTACCAGGTAGGTGCCAAGAAATCTAAAGGGAAAGTAAGTGCCTAGATTTTAGGTTATAATTTGTCTATTGCATGATGAGTAGTTGTTGTTTTATTAGTTTTTATTTGCTTTTTACATGGATTTTTAACATTCTATTTTGACATGATAGGGAATGGCAAGGAAAATTTTATACTTTTCTGCATTGTTTCTTATAATAAAAACTTAAGCTTAATATCATTGCTAACAAAATTAAATATGTTTTGGGCCTGGGATTTAGCTCAGTGGTTTCGCTGCCTGCCTCACAAGTTCAGCAACCCAAGTTTGATCCCTCGTACCAAAAAAAACAAAACAAAACAAAACATTAAGTAAGTTTCCTCTGAAGGATGCTTCCAAGTTAAGGGGAAAGGAAATTAACTATCCATTGGCTGCTGTCCAGCAAGCATTGTGTAAAACATTATGAGAGTAACAACACTTCTGAAGAAGCACTGTATCTCCTCAGTGAACATACTTATCTTAGGCTTTTATTCAGACTTTTTTTCTGTGCTCATTATACGCCAGGGACTATAAATTACTGAGATTAAAAGATGAGCCAGACTAATCCTTGAAGGAATTCAGAGTTTAGTGAGAAAGCTAAGACTATTAATAAGTCCTTATAATGCAGTGTCATGGGTCCTATAGCCATAGTACAAGTGCTTGGGGAGAGTGAGTAAATTCAATTTTTCCAGAAAAGGTGATATTTAAGCTAAAGAGTGAATATAATTTATTTTCAGAGAGATTAAAAGAGAAAAGGCTTTCTAATCAGTGGAACTACTTAGAGTTACAAAGCAATGGACTAATTAATACTTCGAGAATTGAGAGGTAAATGTGACTAGTGTGTAGGGCTAAGGCAGGAGAAGAGTAATTGATGTGGCTGAAAAGTAGAGGCCTTCGATAATGTGCAAAGGAAGCCTAAACTACTGCACAAAAGACAGCTCTCAGAGGACTTTGAGAAGGAAATACTATGAGATCTATATTTTTCAAACGATTATACTAATAAATGTATTGAGAAAATAGAGGGAAGGAGCCAAGAGTAACTAGGGAATAAGACTTACAGTAATATTAGGGAAAGAATGATAATCTGACTTAAGTCATTGATAGTAGTTGCAAAAAAACCAAAAAAGAAACAGGAATAATTAAAAGGAATAACAAAGAAATTTAACAAGCTTTTTTTGTTCTTTGATGTTAATACTTGCAACAAACATTACTTAAGTAGGTTTGTCAGTGATAAACGAGAAGCTGTGCATCCTTTTAACTCCATGCCAACCCTATATAAACACTGTTAATTCCTCATATGCTAGTTCAGTTTTTTTCAAGCTCTCCTTATCCCTTCCTCAAGTAACTGTTCAAGTACCTCTGATATATAACACAGCACTATTTGCCAAGTACTTAATTATTTGTGCTTTCCCAGTTTGAGTAGAAAGAACATAAGCTTTGGAGTCATGTAGACCTGAAATCTAACCACCTCTTTTTATTAGATATTTGACCTCTAAGCCTATTTTCTCACTAGTAAAATGAGTGCTTATAGTACCAATTTCACACTGTCAATTTAAGCAGTAAGTGAAGTAACATGTACAGTACCTATAATTGAGTCTAGCACCCTATAATTTGATAAATATCAGGTACTATTATAGCTTCTAGTTCTTGAGAAAGTAGAGATCATTAGTCATCTTTGTATCACCAAAGCCTAAAATGTAGTGGGCTGAACTCTTGAGTGATTAATAAATGGACATTGGTATATTAAATTGATAATTTTTTCTTTCAGTAGATTTGAACGGTACGTGTAATTTCATTTTAAGGCTAAAGGCATAAATTATTGTTTTCCATTACTTTTATTTCTTAGGTATGAATTTTAGCCCTTTGTTTCCTTCTCATTTTGGAGATTTTTCTCAGAATATTTCTACATCCACTGAACAGCAGCAGCCATTAGCCCAGAACCCTTCAGGGAAAACAGAATATATGGCTTTTCCAAAACCTTTTGAAAGCAGTTCCTCTATTGGAGCAGAAAAGCAAAGGTACTTACTTGATTGGGAATTGATTGAAAAACACTCACTTTTGTAATTACACGTAATTATATGTAATTTGAAAACAATTAGGGAGGATGTTTGTGCTTGATGATTGTTTTTGGGTTGTTAGTGTTGGAAGTATGAAACTTTTACATCTTATTGGATATGATCAGGCTGATAGGTTATCTTTTGTCCTTGATTTGATGTGTCTTTAAGGTTAAAGTGTTTACTGACTTCAAGCTAGAAATGAATATTAACTGATACAGGATAGTTGTGGTCCTTTTATTTGACTGGTAACCTCTAATTAGAATCAATTTCTAGAGATCATCCAAATATAATACTGAATACTATTAAATATATCTGGGATGTTTTCTGGTTTTTGTCAGTGCTAGGGATTTACTCACGGCCTCAGGCTTACTGCTATACCACTGAATTACATCTCTAACCCTTTTTGTTTTGATTTTGAGACAGGGTCTTACTAAGTTGCCTAAGCTGGTCTGAATTTGTGATCCTCCTGTCTCAGCTTCCTGGGACCCTTGGGTTACAAGTGTGCACCCTTATGCCTGGCTTGTCTGGGAAGTTTTGATAGTAGATGGTCTCAAATACAGTTAGGATTTTGTTCTCTCTTTTCTGATATTTATTATTGTTTAATACAGTAATTTCCCCAAATACCATTTCTGGCACAAATAGCTTAAAAGACTAGTTGGATTGGTTTAGGCCAGTTGTTCTCTAGAATTTTTATGGCTATATAAATGATGTTTTTAACAATTGTGTTAATTTAGAAAATTATTTTGGTAGATGTAAAAACTTTATCACATTTTTATTGCTACATAAGAAAAAAACTTGGTTGAAACATTAGAGTTTATTGAGCTAATATTGTATCAGAAAGTACCTGCTTTTCTATCAAGATCCTTTGTATAATTCACATTACATTTCCTTTATCTGTAATGTGAATTATACAAAGGAGCTTGATAAATTACAAACTTTTGGGGATTTTGTTTTACTTGATTAGCTCATAAGTCTTAGAATTCCTACTTTGTGGTTTACCTTTAGGAAACTTATGACTAACCTTCCTGGTTTTGTTGACTCCACTTTATAAGTTGTCCTAACCTTTTTTTCCTATTAAATTTCATGTTGCTTTGTAAAAGAATTATCAATAAAAGCTGTTATCAGTGTTCAGCACAGTACTTAGTACAGTTTCCTTTGAGAAGTTGCTTAAATGACTCCACAAGCAGTAAATATTTATTTATTCAAAGCTTCAGTGATTACTACTTCATTATTACCAGTGTTATGTACTTGATAGTAAGAAATTGCTCTTGTTTTGTATTAAGTATTTATATAATTTTAAGGATGGATCTCTGTGTTTTATTACTTCATATTAGATAGACCTCATCTCCCCAGAATCTCAAATATAGGTTCCCTGAATTAAATGATTGGAGGTAACAAGTCATATAAAACCTTTAGCTTAATGTTGAGGTCAGAATAGTTTTCTTACAAAGTAGTAGTGGACATTTTAGGCTTGGCAGGTCACATACGGTGAATGTCTTTCCTGGCCATTTATCTGCACCATTTCACATAAAAGTAGCCATTAACAATATTCATCAACAATCTATATACAGTATGGCTATGTTCCAATAGTATTTTATTGGTGGGCACTGAAATTTGAATTTCATATAATTTTATGTGTCACATAGTTTTCTTGTGCTGTCTCTTCAACCATTGAAGAATATAAAATCCATTTCAGGTCCAGAGATCATATAAAAACAGGCTGTATTTGCCCTGAAAACTGTAGGTTTCTTGACTTTAACCCGGGAGGTCAGTATCTCCCAAACTGTTACTTACAACACTTAATTTTTGTCCATGCTAGGTTCTGTGATAAAAAGTTGTTGACTTCTTTCTCACTAGCACTCTAAGATGTTTATAAGGCATATTGGCATATTAAAAATGATGAGAAGTTCTATAGACCTGTTTGTGTTTTGCCAATTTTTTCCCCCAAGCTTAGATGGCAAGTGAATGAATACCTATTACATATTAAGGGACGCTAGTTTTCAGTAGATAAACTTTAGGAAATGATATTAGATCAACAGAACTAAACTATACTTAATGAATAGAGAACTAAATTCCTAGTTGAATTCAGGTATAGTGGTGCACCCCTGTAATCCTAGCACTCTGAAAAGGTGAGGCAGAAGGATTTCAAGTTGGAGCCCAACCTGAGCAACTTCATGACTTGGTGAGATCTTGTCTACCAAAAAGCGTGGGGGATAGATCTTAGAACAAAGGCCCTGGGTTCAGTACCAGTACTACAGAAACCAGTTCAATAAAAATAAATTACTAGTTGAGTGGCCAATTATTTTAATAAGTTCTAGTCAAACTCTAGTTTTCTTTGAACTCTTAGCTAATACAGCTGGATGTCCATTCCAGACATTTTGATACAGCTCTCTGCTGCCCTTTACCCAACTCTTTTTTTTTTCCTTTTGTATACCATCTTTCCTTGTTTTTTCTTTTTCACTCTTCACATCATAAAGCCTAGATTTTTCCCACGTGTATAAATACCACATAGTTTCTCTGGTGTGAAAAACTGAAAGTGTAAATAAGATCCAAATTGTATAACTGATAATGTGAAATGGGAAGAAAAAGGCTAAAGGTGTAGGGGAAGTGGGAAGGGTAGGGGAAAGGAAATAAGGGACAAGAAAAAATATGAGAAAAGGAAATGGAAACAAAGTCTTTGTAAATAAGGGAGGGTGGAGGGGATGAATGGAGGGCAGGGGTATGGGGAAAAAATGAGAACCAAGATCTGTCATGTAAGGGTACAAGATCCCAAACTGTAGTATATACTGAAAAAGTACCAATAAATTCAGTTTGATTTAAAAAAATAAAGCCTAGGTCTTTGATTTTTTTTGTTTTTTTTTTTTTTTTTTTTTTTTTTTTTTTTTTTAATGTTGTTACCTGGGATTGAACTTGGGACCTTATGCCTGCCAGGCAGGCAGCGGAACCACTGAGCCAAATCCCTGGCCCTTAGGTCTTTGATTTAGAATTTTTAGTAGTAAAAATGTTTTATTGAGTCCAAAATTAAAGTTTAGTTTGCAATATGTACTTATTTGCACATTTAATTCATATTTTTGTGAAAACATTTTTACAGGGTGATGTTTTTTTTACTTAAATGTCCTCTTAAGTAATAAGTATATCTGGAATTTTCAGCTAATGATGTGATTTCTGAAAACTTGTTTTCATTGATAAGGAATCGGAAACAGCCTGAAGAGCAAGTAGAAAACAGTAGGACACCATGGGTATATGACCAAGAAGGAGAAATAGAAAAACCGTTTATGAAGACTGGATTTGCAGTGTCAGTAGAGAAAACTACAAATAGTAATCACAAAACTCAATTAGATACAAGTAGGAGAAGACATCAGTTTGATGAAGAATCATTAGAAAGCTTTAGCAGTATCCCTGATCCAGTGGATCCTACAACAGTAACTAAAACATTCAAGACAAGAAAAGCATCTGCACAAGCCAGCCTGGCATCTAAAGATAAAACTCCCAAATCAAAGAGTAAGAAGAGAAATTCTACTCAGCTGAAAAACAGAGTTAAAAATGTTGGTAAGTATTGAAATTTGTTGAACATTGTTTAGCATAAATATTGGTAATCTTCTGGCATGTTGTCATTTAATTTCAGTATTGCTAGATGGGTAGGCACTCTGCTATGCAGACTTCAACAGACATTTTTAATTACCTTTCTACTTTTAAAAAATAAAAATATTTCAAGTAGTGTTTAAATATTTTAAAACATGACTTTTTCTTGAAGTTTTTGTTTTCTTTTTTGGGGGAGGATTTATATTTTCTATAATTATTGTGAACTCAGAGGATGTTTTCACAGTTCGGTAGATTACTGAAAAATTGCCATGATGCGTATGTTTTACAATTTTCTCTCAGTATTATATCTGGTCCTACATCCAACTCTAGTCATGACTTCTCCTTAGATTCTTTTTTTTTTTTTTGGTACTGGGGATTGAACTCGGGTCCTTGTGCTTGCAAGGCAGGCCACCGAACCACTGAGCTAAATCCCCGGCCAAATTTTTTTTTTTTTGGGGGGGGGTACCAGGGATTGAACTCAGATCCTTGTACTTGTGAGGCAGGGACTGGAACCACTGAGCTAAATCCCCAGCCCACCTAAGATTCTTAACTGATTCATTTAAAGAAATGTGTGCGTCTCTATGCCTTGTAGTTTTTGAATATCATATAAATGAAATCACCTTTAAAACAGGCTTACTTTTAGTCCTGAGCTAAACCTATATTTTATTGAATATTGCATTTGAATATCATTTGAAAGTTCTCTTTATAGTGGTACTACATATAACCTCTTTTTAAAAGATAGGGTTTCTGTAATTTTTTAAAAAATAATTTACTTAACTAAAATCTGGAATATCATAGCTAGAGGATACTTACTTGGGTTTGCAAGGTCTACTTTTTGGCTGTTGTCTTTCTGGTTGTGGCCTTAGTTTAAGGAAATAGTATTTAGTACTTAAGGACAAAGTATTCCAAGCTTATAATCAAGAATGTTTGAAAAACCACTGCATACTGCTAACTCCCTTTCTTGGAAGTTCATAGAACATACAGATACAGTAAAGGCCCTAGGAAACCTGTAATAGGAAAACACATGTGTAAACTGGGTAAGGTGGTACACACCTGTAATTCCAGCTACTTGGGAGGTGAGAACAACCTGAACATCTTAGTGAGATTTAGTGAGATCCTGTCTCCAAATTTTAAAAAAGGAGGCTGGAGGAGCTGGGGATGTAGCACAGCCTTGGAGTGCTTGCTTTGTATGTATGAACTGTGGGTTCAATCCTGAGCACCACCCTTCCAATTACACACACACACACACACACACACACACACACACACACACGCATGTAAAATTTGGCAACATTTATTTTAACTTTTATTTTTGAGTGATGGAACCCTTTTTAAAAATCTTATGAAAACTATAGATGTTTGCACTTTTTAAAAAAAATTTATGTGTCCATTAAGGCCTTGGTTCCTACCCTTTTCCAGATGTGATGAATCTGATGGTTAAATAGGCAAATTTGAACAGGAATAACATTTTTTATTAACATTATCATCACCATCCTTGAAATAATTTTCTAGTTATAAAGGTTTAGGAGGTACTGATTTATCTAATACAAGTGTTGTCAAACTGTCCCCACAATTATCATGCTTTTCCCAAGATTACTATTGGTACTGCCAGAGAATATTTAAGTCAGTAATGGCTATTTTGAAAGATTTCTGTGTATACTCATAAAACTTTATTCCCCGGTGTCTTGCCCAGTAACTGCTTTTTGACATAAGAATAAATGAAGAAAGCTAATATTTTTTTCTTTCAACCTTCTCTTAATCAGCTAGGTTACAAACCTTTCAGAGCTTTCAGTGATAACACACAGGTGGCGTGGGCGACATGCCTACTACAGGTTCTTCACCACAGAAACAGTGCTGGGGCAGTGCTTCTTAAACGTCAGTGTTTCGTTCAAGACTACTTGCAAATCCTGTTTTTAAATGCAAATTTTGATTTAGTTGGCCTGGGAGGGACCAGAGTCTCCTTTTATGTTGCCAGTTTTGGTGCATGGACCACACTTTAGGTATCCAGGTTTTAGAGAACTCTTAGCTAGTTAATGATTATGTCTATCAAAGCCTTAAAATACTGATTTTTTTTTTTTTTGAGACATCTTTATTCTGGGGAATTACTGTTTTCTGTATGAGATGTGATTGAAAAATACGGTCAATGTTTAAATTTCTTTTTGAGTTTGGGGTACCGGATTGAACTTGGGATCTTAAACTTGTGAGGCAGGTGGTGTGTTCAAATTTTTTAAAATGTGTCATAGTAAAAGCTGCATTACCATTAATCTCACTCACATGCTTCTTATTTCACACACACTCATCATTCCTGCCACTTTGTGAAGCAGTTCTGGAAGTCCTCTTTCATGAATGTATTTCCAAGTAATCTTGTAAATACAGGGAATGTTGCTGCCCAGAGCCACCTAGTGGAAAGGCAGGCTTGTAAAAACATTACAATGTGCCCTCGTCCTCCTTATATACTAGATCTGGCACCATGTGACATCTTGCTTTTTGCCATTCAAAATGACCATGAAAGGTAAATTTTTGAATCAATTTTTTTCCTGTAATAATTTTAAAAAATTTAAATATTCACCATATATTTCAGCCATCCTCAATCAATTCAGCTTTTTTCTTTATGGCAACAGTTGATTTTTGAGTTCTTTTCCTTCATATTTAAGAATATGTGCCATGATAAACATTCACATTTGTTAAACAGGCACTTAAGACCATCTGTTAGTGACAGCCTTAGTGTATGGTGCACACACAAAAATAAGACTTGCTAGCAGAAGCAAATCATACACGGCCATGTCAAGCTAACATGTAACAAAGTCAAGTAGTAAACTAAATCCTTATGATTCAGAATGTGAACCATGGACACACAGCATTGGCTTCATCTGGACCTTGTTAGAAATGCACTCTGCTATGCCTGCGTTTCCAACTGAGTCAGTGTACAGTCTTTTAAATCTGCATTTTACCAAGATTCCGCATGTTTTATGTGGCGATACACACATGAAAGCCTGAGAAATGCTAAACTAGACAACTGATTTATTTTTATTTCCTTTGTGGGATAGAAATAGCTACAATTTGTTAGAAAAAAAAAGGATGTTTATTGTGTCATGAAGGAAGTAATAAGTGAATGTGAGGTGAGATAATACTGGAAAGCATTCAAGGTGTAGTGGCAAGAAGAAAAGTATAGAGTTGGGAAGACGTGGAGTAAGGAATTGGAAGTGTGAGGAAGGGTAGAAAGAGCTATGACACATAGACCAGCAGTGGTAGTTAAATTGCTCTCTTGAGAGATGCACGATAGGACAGCTGGTTATAATGTCCCAGACTTACTAGAATAGCATAATCTAGATCTTCATTCTTTTCTTGGAAAATTGTATAGAGTTGCTAATGTACTGATTTCCAACTATTCTTGAATCTTTTATTGTTCTTCCCTTTCTTGGTACTCACTAATAAAGTCTGACATGATATGCTTACAAACAGATTTTGCCTGATTAAAAAAGAAAAAAGGGTGGAATAGAATCCTTTAAAAATTAAATTTATTACTCAGGCAGAGAAAGGAAGAGTAGCAGAAGGAGCCAGCTCTGTTTCCCTTTCCTCACTTGAAGAGAGCAACACTGAAGTACAGGGCCAGGTGGCAATTCCAAAATGATTGGTGGGATGTCCTACTGCTGAGGAGTCAGAGCTACACTGCAGCTAAGCCATTTTACAGTCTGCAGATGTATACCCAGAAGTGAGCCAGAAAGGTGTTATGTTTCCTCAGAACCTCAAGATCAGACATTATCTACTGTCAGCCTCCTAGGGAGAGGGAAGCAAGTGGGAAATGGCTGCAGAACAGCTGTATGTAAGGTCTTCTGCCACGACTGGGATTTGGCAGTGGTACAGTCTTTTTCTCTGGCCTCTTTGAACTTTTATAAAGTCTCCAGGATGGCATGGTTGAACCATTTCCCTTCAGTGGAGGTACAAGCATAAGTATTATTTATTTCTTTCTATGTTGAGTACTCGTGCTGAGAAAAACGGAATGGCTATAAGGGAAAATGATGCAGTAGGATAGGCAGTAACACCCTTAAAGTATTGAACATCATGTATTATTCTGTTGTTGTTATACCAGCTGGCTCTTAAGTGTTACTCTGAAGTATTAACTTTCATTAATTTTGCTACTGCCTCTGGATGCTTATTATTACAATGCTTTAGAGAGAGATAGTTAGTCTTATACTAATACCTTAACTTTGGAAAACTAGTCCATGATGTGTGTTAACTTTGAAACTTGTATACAAAACTGTAGTCTCTGGCCTTCTCATAGCATTGTAATTGTAGCATGCTTCTCATGGTTTTAGTTATATGCCTTTTTTATAGCACTTACTGGGACTCACTGAATAGGGAGATGCCACATAACCTGTATTTTAACTTTGATTAAAATCTTCTAGTACTTTTCATGTGATTCAGTAATAGCAGTCAAAAATTTAATTTCATTTATATAAATGTTCATGTAAGAATAATGTACTTAAATATTTTTTCAGTGCGTTGTGTATTGTTAATTAAATGAGACTGCCTGTAGTACTTCCAGTTATATCATTTAACATAATATTTTTAGCAGTTGTAACCTTTACTTTTGGACCTAATTTATGTGAGTATCTTAATCATGAGGGTCCTTTCTCCACTAAATTTCTTGCAGCATGGATGGGAGTGGCTAGACTTTAGCTGGAGAGACCAGTAAAGAAACCAGGAAAATAAATTTGAGATAATGGAGTCCTACCCTGAATAATGGCCTTAGAAATAAAAAGGGAATGCTGACTCCAGATAGGATGTCACGGAAACAACACAGTATCTTAGGAATTTATTTGATATCTAAGCAGCTGCTGTTATTTGCAGGATATAAGCAACAGAACTTTAGATTTGCTAGCTTTTTCATAATATCTGGGTTTTTGGAGAAATCTGTGTTACAGAAGACCAGTGTGACCCCTTGCTCTTGGCCCATCTTCTCACCTCCAAGAGTAGCAATCTTTTGTTGCTTTAAGCTCCTAACCGGCTAAAATGTACTTACTGACTAGCTGTATGGCAATCCTCTCCAACCTGACAGGTGGGAGACCATTAGTGTTTCCATCCAAGGAGACTAAGGGATAAAGAAATTTACTGTCTTGTTAGTACACCAGCAACTGGCAAGCCAGAATGTTGCCAGAGATAGACGCTAAAGAGATCTGATATACAAAGAAGGGGAAAAAAGAACAGGTGAAGAAGCAGTAATTAAATGCATGAAAAATAAGTTACAAAAAACCAACTGACATTAGGTAATACTATTTTCCATATAAGTGCAAAGAAGTAGAAGAAAGTAAAATAACTTAGTCAAAAAAGAATTGTGACTCAAAAATCCTGTACCTTAGCCGAGACAATCTTTCTTTACCTATCAGGAAGAAAAAAAGATTTGCTATATCTGATTTGAGAAAAGCCGTAGAAAACAACTTATGATTCAGAATAGTTATCTTTATGTAGGAAAGTTGAAGAGAGGTAATATTTCAGTAATGAAAACAGTAGACCAATCTCACTAATACAGTGTATGAAAAGAATATTGGACAGTTGTTACTTGGGTTAATATCAGAAATGTCATTTTTTTTAAACTATGAAATCTATGAACATAATTTAGTATAGCAAATTAAAATGATAAAAGTTTCAGTAATACATTGGTAAAATTTGGTGATCCCTAATAAAAATTCTAAGTATAACAGACATAAATAATTAATTAAGTCAGGCATCGTGGCTGATGCCTGTAATCACAGCACTTGGGAGCCTGAGACAGAAAGATCACAAGTTCAAGGCAAGTGTGGACTAGATAGCAACACCCTGTCACAAATAAAAAGAAAAAAGTAGCCATTTAAATATAATAAATATTTATTGTGTCAGCTAAAGCAAATCACAAGCATCACTGAAATGGAGGGACTCCATTTCTGTCAAAATTAGGAATAAATGGGTTGCCCTCTCTACCACCATTTTTTTAGGATTGTTTAGAAAGTATTATGACAGAATTAAAATAATTAAAATAGGTGCTAGAAGAACAGGGACATTTAGATACTTTTGGATGGTCTTGTTTTTTGTTTGCTCTTTGTTTGTTTGTTTGTTTTCGGGTACCAGGGATCAAACTCGGGACCTTGCGCTTGTGAGGCAGACTGCAGCACTACTGAGCTAAATCCCCAGCCCGGTCTTGTTGTATATTAAGAAAGTTCACAAAACACTGGAAAATAAATACTAGAGTTAAGGTGAACTATTAAAGTGGCTGGTTATTAAATACCCAGATATTTATCTGTATTAACAGGGAAGGTATTAGGATAATAAAAAGCTATAAAATATTTTTGAACAGCATGAAAAATGAGTAAATGAGTGTAAGAACATTGCTGTCTTCTAAAATGGAAATGCCGGGGATTTAGCTGAGTAGCTCGGTGGTCTGCCTCGCAAGCGCAAGGACCCGAGTTCAATTCCCGGTACCAAAAAAAAAAAAAAAAAAAATATGGAAATGGACAGTTATGAAATACCAGTCCTGTCCAAATATTTTTAATTTGATGGCATTTTGATTGTTTTTGAAATCGAAAAAAAAAATCTCTCAATGCTTGTAAAGATAAATATCTAAGAGAAGAAAAAAATAAAGATAAATGTCTAAGAATAATTGAACACAAAAAAGGCATGTAGGACTTGCCTTACTAGATGATTAGGCATACTGTATAACTTGAATGAAAATGGCACTGTAATAGATAAGTTGAACAATTAGAAAGTCCAGAAATAAAACCCAGTCAATACAAGGATTTAGTATATTAACCAGAGCACTTTTTAATTCAATGGAAGATGATAAATATATCCAGCTATCTTAATTGCTGAGATAAAACAGCTGATACCCAAAGTTAAAGAAGGAAAGGTTTATTCGGCTCACAGTTTGTAGAGCTTTTAAACTCCATAGTCAGCTGGCTCCAGGGCAGGATGGCACAACAGAAGGGGATCGCACAGGAGAAGGAGTCCAAGGCAACACATCAAGCAATGGCAGCAGCAGCAAGCAATGGCAGCAACTCTCTGTTCCTTATATTGCATCCAGGCACCTGCCTTAGGGTGGGTAGCACTCAACCCAGTGTGGGGCAGTCTTAATCCCAGCATCACATACCCTAGATCCAGCCTCCTCTGAAAAGCCTCACCAATGACAGCATGAGGCTTTGGTGGGATATCTGGATACAAGTCATACCACCAGCTGCCCATATAGAACAAAAAAAAAAATTTAATTCCTATTTAGGAAAGTAAGTGTGATATAAAAAAAAATTTAGAGGGAGCATTTGCTAAAATATATGTATAACTTCCTGGTGTTTGAGAGCTTTTAAACCAAGTTATATCACACAAAGGGTGTAGTAAAGGCAGATGTTTTTGACTAATGCTCATTATTCTTTATTACAAGTATTTGTAGATTGATGTGATTTTCTTTTTGCTAATACTGTAAAGTTTTTAAGTTTGTGTCTGGTAGAAAATTTGGGTCATAAATTTGTCTTACATTGTAGTTAGAATTGAAATATATTCACAAAAATATCAAGGCTAATAAAGTGATAGAATATATCACTTTTCTGCTTCCAAAATTAGTGCAAACATATTTCTAAGACACATAATTTACTGTTTTGTATTCTATTTATACCATGCCTTTCTAGCATTCTAAAGTGAGTTGTTTGTACTGTTTCACTATGGAAATTTCCTGTTCACTTTGAGTTAGTAGCAACTGATAACAGTTGTCACTTTCTTTACTCAAGGGTATGAAAGTGCCAGTATGTCTAGCACATGTGAACCTTGCAAAAGTAGGAACAGACATTCAGCCCAGACTGAAGAGCCTGTTCAAGCAAAAGTATTCAGCAGAAAGAATCATGAGCAGCTGGAAAAAATAATAAAATATAGTAGGTCTACAGAAATATCTTCAGGTATGTTCTTTCTTTTTTTTTTATTTAAAGAGTTTAGTTTGAAAAGCTCTATTGAGCAATTTTTAAAACTGAGTCAACACATTTTTGTCATGTGTGTGAAGTTTTAGAGTAGAGATTACATTACACATTCCTTGGTATCAAAAAGTATAAATGGAAATATTTTTTGTTGTGATACTAGTTTTTGACATAATTTACTAAAATTATTTCTAAAACAATAGTTGACATTAATGTGAAACTCCTAATTTAAATTCTGAGAATCTTATTTAAATAAATTTGGTTTGAAATCATATTATACCCCTGCTTACATCTTTTTGGCTTTACCATGTCTGTTGGATAAAGTGTGAATTCCTTAAAGTAACACACATGACCATCAGAGACTTGGTTCCTTCTTGCCTCTCCAGGATTGTTTCTCACCACTTTACTTTGAACTTTATTCTTTCAGTGGCAAAGTAGTTTTCCAATAGCAGTCATGTTATTTTTCACCTCACTAGTTGTCTTTTTTGTCTTAAGTCCTTTTTTGTCCTTTTTCACCGCTAGTCACTTGGATAACACATTAGTTCTGGAACCCTAAAGTTGTACCTGAATCCAGACTAGAATAGCTCTCTTTTTGCTTTTTGTTTTTATTGGAGCCTGTGTAAATCTACTTGTTGCCTGCATCACATTATATAGTATTTACTTATGTAAGTGTCTGTGTAACCCTTTTGAGTTCTGTGGCAATTGATTATACATTTTTATATTTGTGTCTTAAATATGAGTATAATACCTGATACATGGTAGGCTCTCAGTAAGCGTTCCTTAACTGAATGGAGTCATATATTTGCCATTATTTTAATATAAATACAAATACCTTCCTAGTTTATAAATATCTCAAGGAAATATGGAGAGGGAATTGCTAACTATATAGTCAGTGACCTGTCATGTAAAGGTACAAGATCCCAATAATGAATGTAACTGTACTGTATCCCTAAAATGTACCAATAAACTCATTGAGGAAAAATAAAATAAGACCCTTAATGAAAATGATAGTATTTTGCTTTATTACTTAACAATTTTTCAAAATTAATGTATTTTAGTTTATTATTAAGGGATTATTTACACATCTCATTTAAACCTTCTAATGCTGAGTTGGTTTTATTTCCATTTTCTGAGGAAGAATCATAGAGAGGATACTTTGATTTTTTTTTCCAGCACTTATAAAGTACTGTTAGTATAAATTGGTACAACTTTCTTGGAAAGCTTCAAACATCATGCCTTTAACTCAGTAATTGTTGCTAGAATTCATCCTAAGGAAACAGAAGTGAAGGAAAACATAAGGATTTAGTGTTGTTTGAGCAGTAGGACTCCAACTCTGTTGTATAAACAAAACGGTAAATGAAAAAAGATCAGAAGAAAATGCACCAATAATCTGATAGTATTTTTATCATTTTTAAACTCATCCATGTTTTCTGAAATTTTTGAATATTTACACTACTTTTTTAGTCAGAACAGAAAATATCATGCTTGTTTTTATTTTGGAAATCATTTGTTTGCATTTTGAAATACTTCCTCAAGCTCATACTAGTAGGAAATGATATCCCTGAATTTTGAACTCTGTGTGTATGTGTATATGTATCACTGGAGATTGAACCCAGTGACTTTGCCCTGAGTTAGTTACATCCTCAACACTTTGATTGATTGATTGATTGATTGGAAGCAGGGTCTCACTAAATTGCACAGCCTGGGCTAGAACTTGGCAAGCTTTCTGCCTCAGCTTCCCAGAGTGCTAGAATTACTTATAGGCATATGCCAGCATGTCGGGGTGAAGTTTGAACTGTTAAGCCCAGGATTCTTTTGGCAAAAGTAATTATGTTGTTTCAGACCCAGAATTTTAGCAAAATTTCATAATTTTCATATCTTTACTGTCTTTATGAAATATTGGTATCTTCATAAACAGTTGGACAAGGATACTAAGTTTTAAAGGCCTCATAATTTGAGTATCATTACTTAAATAATTGATAATCATAGTATGTTAGAACATGTAGCCATTCTGTAAAATTTTCTATGCCATGTATTAATACTTATTATACTACTGGTAATATGTGATTATTAGAATGAGTATGGATTACTGCTCATATTGGATTAAGCAGTTCTCCACTGGAGGTGTAAGTGATTCACTTTGATGTGTATCTTCAAAAGACTAATAAAAGTTTATTATGATAGTCATCATCAGTCACAGTACGTAAGATTCTAGCAAACCTTTTGAGATTCTTCCTAGTGAGATTATTTTTAAATAGAACATAAACTGTATACCTTGTGATGACATTTTACTTTAGGCAAACAGTTTCTTAAAATTTTGCTTACTTCTTTTTTTACTTCACTTACTCATAGACCCTGTCTTTACTACTTATACAGCTTTTATGTTCATCCTTGTGTCTACCCTTTCCTACAGCACATGCTAGGAGAATACTACACCAGTCTAACAGAAATGCATGCAATGATGCGCCAGGTAACAATCTGCATAGTTTTGGTGTCCATTTGTGTTATTTTTTTTTTCCCATTTGTTACAAAACCCTCAGTTAAGTGTTTCTGATTTTTAAAAGATGTTTTATATATTTATATTTATATCATATGACTATTACAAACATGAAAGAGTACATATTCATAAAGTTCTAAAGTCTTTCATTTATAATTCTTAGTTGGTAAAACTAGCTGCTTTTTTGTTTTGCTGTTAGTGTATGAAACCTAACCAACACATTTGTGAAGGTAATAGAAACTTTAGCATTTAGTATTTGGAAGTTGTATATTTGGTATTTCTTAAACATATAAAAACATTAGTATTTTGGAAACAGATGTCGATGTTTTTATAATTGCTTTTCATTAGTCGACATCTATAAAATATCATCAAGCAAAAAACTATAACATGCAAAGACTGTGATATATAAAGATCATGGAAAATTAGATTCAAAACTGTTAGTTTGATAGCTGGGTGTGGTACACACCTGTAATCTCATGCTGTGGGAAACTGAAGAAGGAAGATTGCAAGTTCCAGCCCATCCTAGGTAACTTATAACTTGGAAAGACCCTGTCTCAAAATGGAAAAAGGTTGGGGGCGTATAATTCAGTGCAAGGTGCTGGGTTCAACCTCCATACCACACAAAGAAAAAAAAGCTATTTTGGTCTCTAAACAATGTTGTTTTGTAAACATGATTTTGTATTTTTAGAATTAGAAATATTCTGTAACTCCTCTTACTGCTGTCATGAGTGAAAAGTAAAAGCCTGTTTGAAACTGTAGAGGATACTAACAGTAAAACAAGAACCTGTATTGACAAAGCCAAATGTATTTGTGATAATTCCAAAGATAATGGGAAATAACCTAGCTAGGCTGAGCGAAATCTAATTGAGATTAGGGCCTTATTTCTAGCAAAAGCTAATTGATTTTAGCTCAAGAGGAGAGACTGGCATGAACCTCCCATCTTTCACCGTAGAAAGGAGGGTGAAGCTTGTGATAGGAATAATTCATTATTAGGAATAATTTAATTTTTAGTGATGTATAATTCAGAGTGATCATTTTACCACATGTAAAGATACAGAAAGGTCATTAAATATACCTTGTTCTTAAAGCTTTGAAACATTTTCAAAATCAGAAAACTATGATCCAATTTTAATATAACATGTAAACTGAAAATTTGTATATCACATATCCTTTGACTTGGATTTTTAGTTTAAGTAGAGCATTCTTTTCTTTCTCTCTCTGACTTTTTTGTGTGTGCACTGGAGATTGAAGCCTCGAGTGTGCTAGACAAGCACTCTGCCCCACTGAGCTCCTTCCTCAGTCCTGAGAGTTCTTACTCTTGCAGAGTAGTTTTCATTCCTGCTTAGAGTAGATGTCACTTTTGTAGTAACTTAGCAGATTTGAACACTGAAAACTGTTTCACTTCTGTATATCACTTCATTGTATACTTATAACTGTCTGAGGCAAGATAGGAAAGTTGCATATTTTAAATTATTTCTATGCTTGTGGAATCAAGACCTGAAGATGTTAAGTAGTTAGTGAATAAGTTTTCAACAGAGCACATTCCTCTCATATTCTATATTCTTATCCTTCTCTTGCAGAAATGTATTAAATCTTTATTCTCTGCAATTCTTGAAAGTGCAGTGTTTTAAAACACAGCATTTAAAATTATTCTTAGAAACAGCACTGGCTTTGGTGGAACTCAAGGATTTAGCTACTTGGTTCTCCTAATGCTGTAGAAAGTTTATAGAATTTGATTGCGAGACAAACCCCTTAGAAATTTTTTTTCCCAGAGGGAACTCAAAATGGGAACCATTCCTAATTTATGTTCTTTATGAGTATGACTATACATTTAAGAGTAGGAATTCTGTTATCAATAAATGCATATAGCAAAATGATAGCTAAATAATAAGTGATTTTGTGCAACTGAAGACTTCAGTTGGGTCACTGACTGCTCCATTTTAGACTGATAGTATAGATAAGACTAGTGAAATCATCAGCATGTTGTAGTTACAGATTCAGTTATCAGTACATGTTTCTGAATTGTAGATGAGATTTGGAAATTAGTAGACCTAACTAGGTAGATTTTAAAGTACAGTAGTAACGTTCATTAGTGATAGTCATTTTGTTCTCAGCCTTAATAATAAAAGATTTTCTTTTCTGTTAGAAAGTTCATCATAGAACAAAAAAAGAGGAAACATTGCACTTAGCTTATTTCATTCAAGATTTTTGCAAAGATTTTCACTGAATATTTCCATGAAGTGTACAAAGTTTTTCCAGTTTTTAAAATTGAGAAATCCCAAAATGTTCTAAGTAGTGCTAGGTATTCATGAATTAAATACTTTTTATTGTGATATTTTGATATTTTTAACTTAGTTATGTTAATCTTTTTTCTATTGTAAGAGTCCTGAAGTAGAATTAGGTTCCTTAGGTATTTTAAGGCTTACAGTAATGATGCAAATTAATAGAAATTGTCATGAACGTATTTTATCAATATTAAATTTCTGATTTTTTTTGTATCTTCCAGAAACTGGAAGTGATTTTTCCATGTTTGAAGCTCTGCGGGATACTATTTATTCTGAAGTAGCTACATTAATTTCTCAGAATGAATCTCGCCCACATTTCCTTATTGAACTCTTCCATGAGCTTCAGCTACTTAATACTGACTATTTGAGACAGAGAGCTTTATATGCATTGCAGGTATCTGTACCTAACATTCTTATTCTTGCCCTGTTACGACTTCACTTTAAGGTATTTCTGGTTGTTTTCTTAAGACTTAAAGCATATCCTTGTTCTGTATATATTTTGCTTTGTCTTCTGGTTTTTCTTAATATTGTAAAAGTTCTGCATAGCTTAATTAGTTTTTAGCAATCTTCATGAGCAGTTTTTCCATATTTTATTTTTAATGTTCCTCCTCACACTTGTGAAAAGCACTGTATTTGTTCTTGCATTTGCTTCTGCTTTTATTTGTAATGTAAATTAATGTAATGTAATATTGAGCCTCTGTTTTATATAAATGTCTTATTTCTTTATTTAGGACATAGTATCCAGACATATTTCTGAAACCCATGAAAAAGAAGGCGGTAATGTAAAGTCAGTGAACTCTGGTACTTGGATAGCATCAAACTCGGAACTTACACCCAGTGAAAGCCTGGCTACTACTGATGATGTAAGATGATAATTATAAGTGAAAGGTAGACCTAACTTCAGTCTACAGTAAAAAGTTTAATAGGTTGTTGACAAATTATGAATACACCTAATTTATTTTTAACCTTAAAAAAATGTGGGTGTAATGCATTACTTTATTTTGAAGATGAAATATAGAACACAATCAAAATATGCCAGCAAATAACCAGAAATTCTGTGTCAGTAATATGAGGTCAAATTATATCTCCATTGTCCAAATAAGGGCTGACTCTTAATTAACAAACATTTAATAAATTTGTCTTGTGTTCCTTCAAAACTATACCAGACAGCAGTCAGATCATAGTAAGATCCCTTGAGTAAATAAGTACAAAATAAATCATGACTTTGGATAAAAGAAACCTGGACAAAGAAAATGAACCAGAAAAAGTTGAAACTTAATGTTGTCTACTTGGAGAAATTTTTCAGCAAAGTAGAAAAGACCTGGAAATGGAGAAGAGTGATGAGGAGAATGGTGTTAGCTTAGTAAACTTTGTCTTCCAAATACTGCCTAGCACATAGATGATGGAATGACTGCATGACAGACTGCTAGAATAATAAGGTATTTCGGGATCACTTATTTAAAGGTTGAGACCAATAAAAATTCCTCAGGAGCCGCCCAGGATCCTGGAGCCTGGAGTTGCTGCCTACTCTCCTGGGAGCCCGGAGCACCTGGTCAGCCACTTCTACCTCTGATTCACCAGGACGAGCACCCAGTCTCCATCCACACTTTTACACCTGGCAGTCCAGAATCTACTGTGGGATGAGGGCGTGGTGATCCAGGCAGTGGAGGTATTGCCCATGGAGCTCTTTCTACCACTCTTCAGGGAGCCTCTCACCAGGGGACTTACTGAGGTCCTGAAGGCCTTGGAGCCAGCTTCGCCTTGCTGCTGCCTCCCTCTGGGAGCCCTGGTGAAAATCAGAAACAAAGAGATCTCAAAAACCTAGCTGGATATTTTCCAGCTGCAGGCATGGGATCTGAAAACCTTTCAAGCCATGCTGTATGGGCTTAATGTGCTGCTGGCTCAGAAGGTTCTCCTCAGGAAATGGAAACTGCAAGTGTTGGATATGTGAAACATGATCCAAAACTTCCAGAGTGTCGAGGCTAGAGACTTGGCCGACCTTGGTTCCCCACAGGTCACACAGGAAGAAAAAATGAAGAAGGTTGGGCCAAAGGTGGCAGAAAAGCAGCCTCTAAAGGTGGTCATAGACCTGGACCTCCGTCTGGAATGCCTGGATCCATCTTTATTCTTTCTCTTCAGATGGGCCCAGGAGAGAAGGGGTAGCTGTGTATAGGTGCGGGTTCTCCCCCAACAATAGTGAATTTTCTGGAAAGTTGGCCTTTGGATATATGGAGTATGTGGAAGTTCATTACTTCTGGGCGCTGTGTTCTGTGTAGTTTGTGCTGCTTTTGGTTCTTTTTTTTTTTTTTTTTTTTAAGAACTTAATTGGCTTTTTCAATTTTTTAATCAAAACTTTTCTTGGTACATTTTAGATATGCATAATGATAGCAGTCATCAGAAATTTGTACCTGTACATGACATATTTTGCTTCTTTTTTCTCATTCCCACACCCCTCAACCCCTTTCACCCTCGTTTTAAAAAAGCTTTGTTTCCAGTTTTCCCTTCTGTTTTTGTCCCTTCTTTTCTTTCCCTCTCCCCCCTTTCTTGTTCCTTTTCTCATTTGAACATTTTCTTCCTGTCTCCCTATATCTTTCATACACTCAGTCCTTATTTCCACTTTCAGTTTCTTATTCCAGAGAAACAAACAGTATTAAACGTATGTTCACCAGGTGTGATTTCCTATGTCTGTAATCCCAGTACGTGGGAGGCTGAGGCAGGAGGATTACCATGAGCTAGAGGCCAGCCTGGGCTACACATAGTGAGTTCAAGGCCAGCCTGAACTAACAGTGAGACCCTGTTTCAAAAACAATAAGTGAATTAAAAATAGTAATAATAAAGGCTGAGACCTTGATTAGGTTATAGAAGATTACATAATGGTCCTTGGACAATATTTACAATCATTTCTAAATGATAGTTGTAGCACATGGAGATCCATGTGCATAAATGACTGACAGATCTTCTCCAGGTAGAAAGTTGAAATGATACTGTGTTTCTGACCCTTGTTGAAATACCTTAAATGTTTTCTGAGAAGATAGTGTCTTTTCGTGAGATTATTTTGAGTAATTTTAGAACTACAGAGTATCTTTTTCTGAATTTTTGTCTTTAACTTAAACTCATGTTGAAAACTACTTCCTTAACTCATTTTTTTCCTGCTTAAAATGTTTCTCTGTCAAGCTCCCAATCTTATTACTGTGAATTCAAATCTGTGTGTAAAACAATAAGATTTAAATTGACTTGGCAATATCAAATATTAATTAGAAAGTACCTGCTGCTTTGGATAGATTATTATAGTTAACTGAAAATTGTGTACAGCATTGTTCTTTATGGGAAATGAAAAGTGGTCCACCTGTAGCCATTTTAAAAAGTAGATGGCTAGGTTACATTAAGATTTCTTGGGCAATAAATAATTGTGAGAGAAAGAAAAATAAATTTTTTGAGACAGGGTTTCACTGTGGTAGTTCACGCTGGTCTTGAACTAACTGTAGTCCAAACTGGCCTTGAACTTGAGATGATCTTCCTGCCTCACTCTCCTGTAGAGTGTTGGGATGAGAATTGTCAGCCATGCCAGATTAAAAATCTTTTTGAAGCATCTTTTTTAGTAACTTTATATCCTTAATTCCATTGACTCCCCTTTTTACCTAAGTTTCTTAGGGCAATATTACTTTTTTTTTTTTTTTTTTTAAATTTTTGAGACAGTCTTGCTATGAAGTTTAGGCTGGCCTTGAACTCACTATGTAGCCCAAGCAGTCCTCACACTCGTTTCAATCCTCCTTCCTCAGCCTCCCAAGTGCTGGAACTACAGGTGTATGCCACACCTGGCCTTCATTTATTTTAAAAGATTTGAGCACACTGGACTACACCATCAATATTAGATTTTTTAAAAATATGAAAAAATGAAAATGAAGTGTTTGTAAAGGTGGGGAGGGGAGGAGGCGTGAAGGGAAGACAGGGACAAGGGGAAAGACTGAGAACCCAGACCTCTCATGTAAAGGTGCAAGATCCCAATAATGAATGTAACAGTACTGTGTACCTAAAATGTACCAATAAACTCAATGAGGAAAAAAAAATACTAGATTTTAAAATTTGGACTGTAAAAGTTAATAGTTTAAAGTTAAATGAAATTTAGAGAATTTTCATTACTTGATAAGTGGGAATTTAGCATAAATAATTCAGTATTATTTTCAAATAAAAGCACTTCTTTCAATTTTTCTTCTAGAACTTAAATTCAGCACTAGTATTAACATTTTCTCTTCTCCAGTGCCACTTAATCAGCAATAGCAGCAGAATGAGTCCCAGCTCTAGAGCAGCACTTTCCAGTAGGACTCTTGACAGTAATGGAAACTTAAAAGGTCAATAGACTTTTTGCACTGATGCATGCCTGTAATCCCAGCTAGTTTGGAGTCTGAGGCAAAAGGATCCAATGTTTCAGGCCTGGCTGGGCAGCTTTCTAAGACCCTGCCTCAGAATTTAAAAAGAATGCTGGGGTTTAGCTTGGTGCTAGTGTCCCAGAGCTCAGTCTCTAATACTGGAGGAGCAATAGCTAGAAGAAAAATACATACTTATGAAATATTTCAGTTAAAATATAAGTGAGACACCCCCATCACACTATATACAAAGTTAATTTAGAATGAATTAAAATCCTTTAAGACTAAACCTATATAAATTCTTAAAAAATGGGAGAAAATCACTTTAGCTTTGATATAAACAATTATTTCTATAAAAATAAACTAGGAAAAATTGGTAAATTACATTACATGAAAATAATAACTTTCTGCCTTTCAGCAGGTAATGTAAAGAGAAAATAATCCCACTTACATATATCTGACAGGGATTTGTAGCTGAACAACGTAAACTCTTAGAATTCAATTATAAGACAGACATCTCAGTAAAAAATGGGCAAGAGATTTGAACAGATGCATCATAAAAGAAGATATATAAATGGCTACTATGAAAATTAAAGCCATAAGAGATAACATTTAACACCCACAAAAACCACTAAAATTGAAAAGATTGACAATAAGTATTGGTGAGAATGTGGAACAACTGGAACTCACTGTTGTAGGAGCATAAAATTATACAACCACTTTGGAAGGCCGTTTGGAGGTTTCTCACAAAGTTAAGCATAAACGTGGCATGTGGCCAAGAAATTCTCTTCTGGATTCTATATTCGCCCTAAAGGAATGAAAACATGTCCACAAAAATATTACACACTCGATCCCCGGTACCCCCCCCAAAAAAAACTACTTATACATGTGTTCATAGCATCTTTAGTCCTCATATTGGCGCACCAACAGGTAAATGGATAAACAGACTGGTGTATCCACATAAGGGAATACTATTACAATGAAAAAAAAAAAAAAGAAAACTTTAATATACTGTGTAATTTCATTTTTATGAAGGTCTTATAATCAGCAAAACTGATCTACAGTGATAGACATCACATAAGTGGGGTATAGTAGAGATTGAAGGGTGTAAAGGAACTTCTGGCCTAATGAAAATGGTCTTTAGAGAAGCTGGTTACATGACTATACATTTGTTGGAACTCATCAAATTGTACATTTAAAATAAGTATATTGTTGTAAATTGTATTTCAATAAAATGTATTTTTTAAAAACATGAGTGAAACTGTCATGTTTTTCTTCAGCCATGAGACAGTAGTATACTAGGTACTTGATATTAGAATTTGGAAATGGAATGTCCGTGAAGATGTTCAAGTAATTTAACTAACTTTGTTAGTTTAGAATTTTAATCAGTAGCTAATTTTGTGTGTTTTTATCTACAAAATGGTAGATGTTCTGCAAGGTTACTTAATATTTTAATAATTAACGGTATTTAGTATTTAATAGCTTTAGACATAATCTTTTTTGGATGCAATACTTACAACTGACAAGTATCTCTTTTAGGTATAGTTTTATGCAGATAGTTTCTTTGTTAGATATTTAGTATTTATGCAATGTTTCAAATAGTGACTTTTCCTTGTTGTGCCATATTTTAGGAAACTTTTGAGAAGAATTTTGAAAGAGAAACGCATAAAATAAGTGAGCAAAATGATGCTGATAATGCTAGTGTTATATCTGTGTCTTCAAATTTTGAGCCTTTTGCAACAGATGATCTAGGTAAGCAGAATGTTTTCCTATAGTGCATGACCTGTAGTTGATTAGTACAGTTCTTTCAGTTGCATGAATTAAGAAAACAGCTGGAAAGGGTGCGGTTCAAAGAACGTGGATGTATTAGTCTATATTCAGAACTCTTAATTGTTTGACTGTGAGCAAATTATCTCATCTTTATGCCTCTGCAGGTACTATGGAAATGCAGATCTTATCTGCCTGCTGTGTTCTCAAGAAGAGTATATATAACTTCCTACCGTGAATAATAAGAGCTCACAAAATTTTAATTTTCTTTCCTTTAAAAATGGGAAAGGGAATTTCTTTTCCTTTCCCTTAAAGAAGAGATAATCTTTGAAGTACTCAAATGGAAAAACAAATCAGGCCTTATCCATAGTTTTAATAAAAACTTATGGTTTGAGTCAGAACTCAAATTTTTAGCATAAATAGCCTGTAGTAAAAACCTGAGGTAACTAAGATATGCCATATTACAATTTTTTTTTTTTTACATTAGTAATAAAACGAAGGTTAGAAGGTTGTATAACTCAATGGGAGAAAAACTTGAGTTACAGATTTGGAAATGAAATTAGAGGGGAAAAAAAAAATCTATAGGTAGCTGATACATTTCCCATGCTGTGACTTGTTAGAAGATATATGCAGTCATTCTGATCTCCCAGGCATGTAAGTTGATAAAATAATCTAATGTTTCATCTTAGTGTTTATATGATAAGATTTAAATAATTTCAAAGGTACTTTTCCACTATAAAAAAGAAAAGGGCTTGTCCTATCATTAGGTATCTACTTTATCCAAAGGTAAAACTGTGCTGATTATTGAGAACAAAGCTCTAACTCCGTTCTGAGTAAAAAATCTGTCAGGTCTATACGAAGCTCATCCCATTATGGACCAAAATACACTCTAGTGGGCAGCCTTTACCCTCTTTGATTGCCCCTCTATTTCTTTCATATTTTCTTTCTTTTTTTTTTCCTAAAAAAATCTCACCACTGGGTGAAGTGGACATAGAATTGGGAAATCTCATAATAGTCTTAGGACTTTGTCTTACCTTATTTGCTTATGTTACGTTGAATTGTTTTCCTCTGAATTTGTGTGGTATTTTTAATTTATTTTCTTTTTCCTGTTTGTGTGAAACAACATGATGCACTGAAACAAACATGGGCTTCATAGTGCAAATCTCTGCTCCTGTATTTTAACCAGCTATGAAACCTCAGCCAAGTTACTTGAGTTTTCTAAAAATGAGAGTCCTACTTCTTTTTTAAAACATTAAGAAATGTTCGTACCTTTTTTGTAAGAAATACATGAAAAAGTTTGCTTTTACGTATTTCTGTTCCCATTCCAGGTAACACCGTGATTCACTTAGATCAGGCCCTAGCAAGAATGAGAGAATATGAGCGTATGAAGACTGAGGCTGAAAGTAATTCAAATGTGAGATGCTCCTGCAGGGTTACTGAGGATGAAGATACTGCTGCTGCTACCACTGTAGTTAATAATTTAGAAGGTGTGTTTTGGATTGACTAGCCGAAGTAATCATAATTGCATATGCAAAATAAAAGACCTCCTGATTTATCATAGTGGTTTCATTAATGCTTTCTTTTACTTTTTAGGACTTCTAAAACTACATAAATTTTCCTTTGTATTATTTTAGCATAAAATTATTGTAACTTAATATTCTTAACAATTTTGCACAAATGTGGATGTATAATGTCATAGCCTTTTTATTCTAATATATCATTTTTCTTAATAGAACCTTCTGTTACTGAAAATCATGGCTCACCACAACCTATAAGTGAAATTCCTACTGTCCCATGTCCTAGAATTGATACTCAGCAGCTGGACCGGCAAATTAAAGCAATTATGAAAGAAGTCATTCCTTTCTTAAAGGTAACCAATTTTTTGAAATAAATAAGCTTTTTGTATTTTTTTAAAATGTTGACAGAAGACTTCATTATAGTACTACATCCTTTCAGAATGCTTAACTTGATGTCAAGTTTTTGAACATTGCAGTGAAGAAGGCAAGCCCTTTGCTGTTAAGGAGTTTATGTGCTACAATAGAAATACAGACTACAATAACATAAGCAAACATAAAAGTATAACTAAAGGAAAATTGGATGCCTTTGTGGTAGTGCCTATCTGAATTTCAGCACACTGGGAAGTAGAGGCAGAATTGCTGTTTGAGTCTAGCCTTGGCAATTTAGTGAGATCCTCTCAAGATAAAAAAAACATTTTATAAAAGGGCTGATGTGGCTCAGTGAGAAAACTCTATGTTCAATCTCCAGTACTGCAAAGAAAATAAAATTATCAGGTATGTTCCATAGAGAATTAAAATTGGTTAGGATGGTACCTGTTTCTTACTGGATAGTTAGGGAAAGCTGCTGAAGAGAGAATTTTTTTTTTTTTTTTTACTTCTTTCTTTTTTGTGGTACTGAGGATTGAGCCCAGGACCTTCACATCTACATCCCCAGCTCTTTTTGAAACAGGGATTCCCTAACCCAGGCTGGCTTTTAACTTGAGATCTGAATAGGTAATATTTAAGGACAGGTGTGAATAAGGAGCCAGCTTAAGCCAGGATCATTCCAGATAGGATAAAAGGACTGTAAGGTAGGAATTGACTTGGCATATTGAAGGAACTGAAGAAAGACCTGTATGGTTGAAGAAAATTGTGAGAGATTAGTTGAGAGAGTAGAGACCAAGTTATATAGAACGTTACAGGTTATGATTAGAAGTTTGGACTTTATTTGAAGTTTGAAGGGAAGCTCTTAGGTTTTAGGTAAGAGAATAAGTCAGGCTTGTTTTTAAGAATTAGGGGTTCAGGAGTGCAGTGAGAGCAGATGAGAAATCATATTGGCTTAGATAAAGATGGTAATAATGGAGGTGGTGATAGCTGTAGATAAACATAAGATAGGTTATAGCAGATATATGCCACCTAAAGCCGAAGCACTAGCTATGAGGAGGGAGAACTCTAGATCTGGGACACAGGAATAGGTGCTGCAATATTTAGCTGTATAAAAGAGGAAGTCTCACAGTTGACCAAAAAGGGCTGTCCGTGGTTAGTTGATTCCTGTTGAAGATTGCATATTTAATTATTTTACAAATCTGTTACTAAACTTTTATATTTATTTTGGGTTTTTTTTTCACTATTATAAATATTTCTTCAGTAAGTTAGCTAAATTTTAAGATAAATTTACTTCTTTAGAAGTAATTCTTAGAATTTCTACCTCAAAGGGCATGAACATTTTTAAGGCTTTGACTCATTTTTGCCAAATTGTCCAGAAAAGTTAGTTAATGTATATTCTTAGAATGGGAGTAAGAGATGGACTAGTAAGCAGGACTATTAATTTTGTTTAATAACATTGAACAGAATGGAGAAAGAAAAGTACAAGAAATGGAATATGAAGATGGGATTTTTTTCCTAAGATGGCACTCTACATTTTCATTTAAAGTGGAAATTTTAAAAATAAGAAATGAAGTCAGTATTGTTTTTGAGCCAGGGTCTCACTATATAGTCATGCTGGCCTCAAATTTGCAGCAGTTCTCCTGCTTCAGCCTCCCAAATGCCGGGACTCCAGGCATGCACCACTATGCTCAGCACAATTGATTTTTTTTACCCAGCTACAAAATATGTTGTCATTGGGCTCATTTCAAACAACTAACTTGTACTTAATTTCTTTGTAAGACATTGAGAGAGTTGTTTCTACACACTTATATTTCTTCCCTTAGTAGAAATAATGCTTTCTTTAGAATATTTTGAGAGAAAAGAGACCTTTGAGGAAGGAGTTGTAGAAACTGCTTTTTCTGAAGAGACAGTAAGGTATCTGGCTTCCTAGCTGAATGGAGAGAGAAAGTCATCTGATGGTTCAGATTATTCCATATAAAAACAGAACAAATTAGCCTTCCTTTTCCTGGGCAATTTGAACAACTCCAACATGGTCTTTCTCTGTTTGCTTCAGCTTTTGCCATTTCTACTCGCTACGCAAATACATGCATGGTTTGTTTCTTAAATCCCTCAAGTCTTTGGTCAGATACTCACTTTTGATGAGTAGACCTCACTAACCTACCTACCTTCCTTCCTTCCTTCCTTTTCTCTCCTCTCCTCTGCTCTTGTCTGTTCTCATCTCTTCTCTGCTCTCTTCCTCTTCTTCCTCATCTTCCTTCTTCTTCTCCCTGCCCCTCTTCTTTTCTTCTGTGCAGCTCATTGCATTAGGCAAGGTCTCTACCTCCGCAGTCCTTTTCAAATTTTATATTGGGGCAGGGTCTTATTACATTGTCCAGACTGACTATGAACTTGGGATCCTCTTATCTTTGTCTCCTAAGTAGCTGGGATTATAGGTATGCATTTGTTTTGTCGGTAGTGCTTATCACCTTCTAATCTGCGTAATATTTGTGTAATTTTTTAATTTTCTCTCTCCCATTGTTAAAATGTAAGCTCCATGATTTTTTAGTGCTGTTTATCTGTTGTAGTCACTGTCAAAGCAGTACCTGTAGTTAGTAGGTAGTCAGTAGATAATGAATTAATAAATGAGTGGATTCTTCAAACATCAATTCTTTCAAACTATTCAAGCTCTTTAACTATATGGTTTGAAAACAAGTGACCCTTAAGGGTGACGATCAGATTCAAGATGATGTATGAAATTTTCTGTAGCCTACTCCCATAGCTTTCTTTATTCCTTCCTACATACCTTATGTCCTACCTAACATTGTTCAGAATTTTATATTGTGAGTTTATTTCCTTTGCCTAGGATGAGCTTTTCTTCCTTACCACTAAAGTTTATCTTCTCATTAGAATAACATGCATCTTTTAGTACAGTACTTACATCCAAGAAGGACTTGGACTGGGTAAAGGAAATTGGAGGAGATAAAACATAAAACTTTAACATATCATCAGTTTTACCAATTTTTCTGTGAATTTGTCTCATTATTTATTAATATATATTCATCTCCCAAATAAATGTATTTTCTTATAAATTGTAAAAATATAGGCTGGGGCTTTAGCTCAGCGGTTCGGTGGCCTGCCTTGCAAGCACAAGGACCCGAGTTCAATCCCCGTACCAAAAAAAAAACCATATATATACATATA